TTCCCAGGCCTGTGGCGCTGCCTGCACCGAGGGGGCTCCTGCGCTTCATCCGCCGTGGCTGGCTCATGTGTAAACGCTCTTTTTAGCATCGTTTGTGCATCTTCGTGGTTGGGGGTGTGCCAGGGTACGATCCCTTGCTGTTTCTCAGTACATCGACTTTCAGCCCCAGCAGCCAGGCCTCGGCAAAAGTGGGCTTGGCATTTCCCGGGTAGCCAAGAAAGGCATTTCAAGTCCCTGCCAGCTGTGAGCTGACTCGTGAGCGCAATAAAAAGGTCAAATTACATGTCTAATCAAAGCAAATGGTTTTGCATATGACTTAGGACCAGTATATTCAGTGGCAGGATGAAAGCTAAGCTGGCTGTTACTGATGGACCACAGGGTGCGTTAGTCCCAGGCTTCTGCAGGACTGCAAAACGACAGCAAGTTAAACTTGTTACAAAGGAGCACGTAGTACGCAGCCAGCTGATCTACCCGAGTCGGATAGAGAGTATTTAGGTGTTAGGGAAAACAGTTTGTGATTTAGCTGAATCATACAAACACTTTAGAAATTACAACAGCGGCCGCCTGAACTCAGACTGGTTTCCTGTTGCTACCAGCCTTGAGTCAGAGCTCAGAGAGTTTATTTCTGCAAGGAGGGGTTCTGCTGGCAGGTTCATGTTTGTTGACATTTGGAAGTGGGAGGTGAAACTAGCTTAGCTACGGAAACTGGGTGCTGAGCAAGCCAGGCAGCCTCAGAGATTTGTCACCTTCCTCAGTCCTTCCAGGTAATCTTCAGACTGTTCACAGTGGGCAATAAAGCAGTAGTAATTTCTGGATCAGCCCCCTCTTCCCAGCTCTCAGGTGGTTCTTTGGTGGAGTGACATGCCACTTTACATGCAAGTGGAAAAAATGACACGTGTTTTTAAAACTAGAAAAAGCTTCTCAGCACAACAAACAGAGATCACAAGTGTTCAGGATGATTCTTCTCAGCTGGCAGACTGAAAAAAAACCCAACGTCTCTTTGTAAATGTGAGCAAAGATCGCATTTCAGAAAGGAGAGAAACATCTTGTGGCAGTCACTATGTGACTTACCACAGATGTCATGATTAAATTTTCATTATTTGATGTTGTAAAGTCTACTGGGGAATGGAAAACTTAAGAATCAGTAGAAAAACTAGTAGGGATGTATGGAAGGGAGTAAGCCTGCCATTCATCTCCAGCTAAATGAAAGTATACCATTCACAAAAAGGGGGAGAAGGATGTTCTTTTCTTCACTTTAGAAACTCAACACGCTGAGAGAAAGGTGCCTTCACCATTGCAGGTAGCTAAAAGACCATAATTATGAAGAGCATTTGTCTTCATGCTTTATTTTAATTAAAGGCAAGAAACACTGAGGCGTCTCACATAAAGCCTGTAGTAGCTGAGTGGTGGTGGTACAACTGTTGCCAGTCCGGTTTAGCATCATTGTAAGGTATTCAGAGCTAAGGGATTTCATTCACTGGCAACATCTCCACTTTTCTGCCTTGCCCTGATGTGTGTTAGCTAAGAGAAACATTTATGCTTAAAGGACTTCTCTGTAATTTTATTTTGCAATTTAATATTTAATAATTATATCAGAACTTAAGTATATGCAAAATTTTCTTCTTCTAAGACTGTGCTAATACTTTAGGATTTTAAAATGCTTTCAGATACAGATGCAAATCCCATTTCTTTTATATTATCCAATTCCAACTTCTAGTAATGATAAGATGGTAGAATGCTATATGTCCTACATACTATGCAAAAGTAATTTAACATAAATTTAAGTTCTTTAAGATTTTAATCTTCAGCTGCAGGATATGATGTATGCATCTCGTGGGACCATTTTTACAAAGTCTGGTTTAGCCATACAAAACAACTCCTGTTATATAGAAACTCTCTTGGCAAATAAGGAAGTGTGATTGTACAGCATGAAAATCAAACAATAACTTCCTGTATTATGTTTGGCACAGAATGACTGGCAGCAGGTATTTCTTCTAGTTCCTTCCCGGTAAAGGGTGGTGTTAGTATCAGCATTGTTGGCTGCAAATGAAGGTATGCTGTCAAATTTCATACAATTTTTAATACTTTTGATATTTTAAATATTCCTTCCTGAATAGTATTAGGTGAATTGTCCAAGGCTGCTTATTGTTAATTGTGCAGTGAAGTTATTTTGACAGAACATTAATATTTCCAGAGCTTAGCTATGAACAGACCCAAAGGCACATTCTCCAAGTGTTTTTTCAGTTAGAAAAATTAAAAAAAAAAAAAAGTGAGTGTATTACTGATTTTGCCACTCAGCAGGATGAATCCTCCATGTGTCATTTTAATTACAGGGGACTGTAATTAAACTGCAAGCCCTGTTGCAGCATTGCTTGCCTGTCACCTGCTTCCCCATGCAAAATAACGACTCCTTTTGTTCTTGGAAATGCAATACATCTTCTTCCTTTAAAAAACTTGTCTAGGCTGATGGCAATTACATCATTCCCACAAGCTGTCATTGTAGTGATGCTGATAAGGCTTGGCTCCAGTCTTAGCTCAGGATCAGCTGGCTCTGCAGCTGGGTTGCAGGGATAGCCAAGGGACTGTCCCTTGCAGGCTGTGGGCTTCCTCCAGCTAGGGGTTGTCGAGGTTAAATGAAAATTGCTGTGAGGTGTAATAAGGCATCCACCTCAAAATTTTATGATTGGTTAAAGAAGATCCAGCTCACACAGTAGTCACTGAACAATTTTAATAAAACATATTAGTGCCCATATGCAGCAAGAGTTTGCTCCCTATATAGATTATTTTTCCTTCTCTTTTTTATTTTATTTTTTGTTTCAAAATCTCAGCTAAAAACATAAAAGCAGAAGTCTGGAATAACAGCAGACTTACTCTAGCAGGCCAAGTCTGAAATCGTGGATTTGGCTTTATGCTTGTATTTTGGGGATGTGGTCTCTGCACAACACAAAAGAACCCTCTCATCTTGAGGTTTCAGGCTAGCTTTTATGATTTCAAGTTGAATTTTACATCAAAGATAATATTTTATTTTTGCATTCCTTGGTATTGCCCTTGCTTGACTGAGGCAATGTAATGCAAAATATATACAAATATATATATATAATAAGGCATGCACCTGTGAATTGTGGGGGTGGGTAATGGCCTGGGGCAGCATTGTGTATGTTATGTGGATTTTGTGAGTTATTTGCACCATCAGAAATGATAAGTGCTCTGGGAAGACGTGGAAAGGAGTGAGCAGAGTGAGGACAGGGGTCCTGCAGAGCTGTGCCTGGTGTGCAAATCACTTGGCTTCCTTTTTCTCCTCCCAGGTGCTGTGGTTTCTTTTCCTTGCCATGACTCCAGTCAAGCATGGTGCCAGATCATCAACGTGTCTGAATCCCGTCCTTCTCTCCTCACCTCTATGGACAGGACTCTCAATGAAATGAACCGGAACATCTCCACATCTGCTGGAGGAAGCAAATACCAGCTCTACGTTGGCTTGGCTTTGGCAATAGGTTCCAGTATCTTTATTGGTTCTAGTTTCATACTGAAGAAGAAAGGACTTTTGAAACTTGCAGACAAAGGAGTCCCCCGAGCTGGTAAGCGGTGGTACCCACCTTTGTCCTGCTGAGAACCCAAACACCTCTGTTATAACTCGGCAAAATCAGTTTGAGACAGAGATCACACATTTAAAACTGTTGCAGTTGAAAAATGTCATACTTTAACAGTGATCAGACGTTCTGCCTTGGCTAGGGATGGAAATGTGTTGTGATTGCTCAGATGGAGATTTCATAATTCTTAGGGCTATGGGGGCTGCAGTGGGAAAACTAGTGAACTGGTGATATCTCCTCCCAGACGGCAGTGAGATACCAAATAAAGTTCCCCATTTGTTTTACTCTTCAAAATGCCAAAATGCCTTTCTCTCTCTTTTTTTTTTCCCATCCCCCCCCCCATTTGAGGTGGAAGGTTTAAGACAGTACCTAGGCTTAGTTCTTTTTTTTAAAAAAGGAAGTGAAGTGAGCTGTAGAAAGGATGCCTATTACAGAAGTTTCTACGTTTAGTACAACTATTCTTTCATCAAAGCCAACAGATGAAGAGCTAGAAAAATGTGGACAGCTTTTAAAAACCTATTGGGCTAATCTCATAATTCCCTTTTTGTAGATTTAAATATACAGCATTAGCAGTTTTGCTTTTGTTTGTTGTGTTTATTGCAATATACTCTAACAGAAAATTTGGTTAGTTGGGAAAAATGTGTTACTGAATGTTCAATATACTTACATTTTATGTCAAAAAAAATTAATGCATGCAGTGGCATTTTTCTTTCTAATTTCTCTCTATTTAAAAGTATAAGCAGAGTAGAAATGCAGGTGACTCTGTATGAATATATTGGATCTGACCTGGGAAAGCAGTTTGAAGCATTTCTTAAGCTCAGCAACAATCTTCACGAACATTTTACTTTTGCTTGGAACTTTCGCTCCGTGAATATTTAGTAAAATTTTTCAGAAGCCAAAGTCACAAAGCAGTAGAGTGATTAATAAAAATATCAGTCAAAATCAAAGGAAATATTCTTCATGTCGCATCCAGGTAACATGCCCTTTCAGTACTTTGTAGGACTAGATGCAAATGTGAAGGTGCAGGGGTTTTTATTATAATAAGGTGATCTGTTTCTTCTAAGATGAGATGATTTTTTTCCATTTTCAGGACAGGGTGGTTATTCTTATTTGAAGGAATGGCTTTGGTGGGCTGGATTGCTGTCAAGTAAGTCACCTCTTCCCTCTCAACCTATATGTAAGTGCTACATAAAGCAGATTGTTTTAAATAGATTTACTCCCTGATTTTTCACTTAAAAGAAATGTCTTTGCAATCACCTTTGTGACAGAAGCCATTCTGATACCACATCTCTCAAATACTGTGTGTGCTCTTTGGAGCTCCATCCAGAATGACAATCTTTTCCTTAATATCCAGTCAAAAAGCAATGGGATTGAATCTGTCCCACTCCTAGGAGCACTTAGGAGAAAAGTATTTAACTTTCTTCAGCCTTTGTTGTGTTCAGAGGAGGTTAGATAATTTTGAAAGGAAAATTTTCATATATAGTTTAGGAAAAAAAATTTTGGTTTATATCAGACGAAGTATTTATAATAGTATGCCTTTTATTCCCCAACTTCAACCTGATTCAAACATTCTTTCTTCTGCAGTGGGATTAGGAGAAGCTGCAAACTTTGCTGCCTATGCCTTTGCACCTGCAACCTTAGTTACCCCCCTGGGTGCACTAAGTGTTCTCATAAGGTTAGTACAAACTGGGAGCAAACCTTGGCAAACGAACCATTCACTGCATGAGGGAAAAATACTGTAGTTGGCTGAAAGTAGAGAATTTTAGTAAGAAAACTGAAAAACAATATATGGACAAAGAATGCTTTTTGTTCCTTGGTGGAAAGATCCCTTGCTTATTTAGAGCTGAATGTTCTGGGTAGAGCGAATGAGAACTGTTGTTCCAAAGACTCTGTGCTTTCCCAACAGCCTTCCATCTGTATTGTAAGTATTTCTTACCACTGCGTACCAGGTATACTGCTGATGCACAGTGATAGAAGGCTGTAATTCATCTCTTCCTAGAGAACTGAAGCTTTCTTAAAAGTCTTATCCTGTTCTTCAGTTGTGACAAAACTTCAAAAGAAAACACAGTATTCCCCCATTAAAATGTTTTAAAATTAATTTATTTTTTATTTGAGCATAATTAATCGAGAAGGACAGCGAACTGCTGGAGAGAGTCCAGCACAGAGCCACAAAGATGATTAAGGGAATGGAGCATCTCCCTTATGAGGAAAGGCTGAGGGAGCTGGGTCTCTTTAGCCTGGAAAAGAGGAGACTGAGGGGTGACCTAATCAATGTTTATAAATATGTAAAGGGTGAGTGTCAGGAGGATGGAGCCAGGCTCTTCTCTGTGACATCTAGTGATAGGACAAGGGACAATGGGTTCAAGCTGGAACATAGGAGGTTCCACTTGAATATGAGAAAAAACTTCTTCACGGTGAGGGTGACGGAGCACTGGAACAGGCTGCCCAGAGAGGTTGCGGAGTCTCCTTCTCTGGAGACATTCAAAGTCCGCCTGGATGCGTTCCTGTGTGATCTGATCTAGGTGTTCCTGCCCCGGCAGGGGGATTGGACTAGATGATCTTTCGAGGTCCCTTCTAATCTCTAACATTCTGTGATTCTGTGAATCTGTAATTGCATATTAAGGCACACTTAGTAAGCGTTTTGGGCTTGTTTTCCAAGTCCTTCTGGAAAGAAGGCATAGAAAATTTTATCTTTTTTAATATCCAGAGTTAAAATTTGTTGTTCTTTTGAAATATCAATGCTCTTCAAACACTCATTATTTCCTGCGTATGAGGAAACAAATAATTTCCAAGTACTTAAGCACATGCATTAATATGGCTATCGCACAAGCAGAGAAGACATGGATTATGCTTATAACAAACATCCTGGGAAATAATTTATTAGCAAAATGAAATAATTGAATTTTAAATGTAAAACTCTTATTTTTAAGAGCTGAGTATTCTGTATGAAATGTGTTTTAAACCAATCTGGGCCATGTATATTTTTTTTTTAAAGATTCTTGCAGTAATCGAACTGCTAAAAATGCAGCCATTCTGTCAGAGCAAAACCCATGTAACTCACCTACAGATGTGCTGGGATCAGCTTATAGGTAGGTGCAGACTGCCTGGCTGCTGTTTCTCTGAACAGCCTAAGTTTTTTAACACCCTTTCCTCTGCTGTGGATAGCAATGTTTCCAATTTTCATGAAGCAGAGAGGTTGGGAGAACGTCATGTCAGTCAGCTCATTATCCTTGTATGAAAAAATAGCTATAATTTGATCAGTGGCTTGAAAACTATTTGTGAGCATGTCCACACACTGTTAAGCCTGTGTCTGTGTCTAAGGTTGTGCTCTAGCTGGCTAACAGTGTGCCCTGTGAGGTGGCCTCATTTGGGCTGTGTTATTATCCTTAGGTTAAATCTTGAACCCCTTGGAGAGCCTGGAGTCAGTCCCCTTTGAAGGGGGAGATGTGCCTTCTCTGTGTTTTTGGGGGAGTCCTGGCAAGCCAGGCAGAAACTGTGCCTGGGTGGGAGAGCCCAGGGATAGACAAGGAACAGTTTCCAGAACTTGTGTACATTGGTTCTAATGGCAAATTAAGTGCTTTAAACCATTTTGGGAAGAAAATAACAACACGTGTGGTCAATCTACAGGTGTGTGAGAGTACATACCCCTGACCCGGGCAATCAGTAATGAGAAGTTCCTTGAGCAATTTGGACCCTTTACAGCCTGGAGAGGAGGGATCAGGGTTGCTAATGCCCCTAAAACCTGACCTGACCTTATTGGTCCTGACGAACCTTCCTGCAAAACTTAAAATTTGATTGTTTCAGGCTTGTTTCCCATATATTCAAATTCAAAATAAGTTTTGAATTACTATCATGTTACACACAAAGATTTTGAATGTCTTGTGTGGCTGATGGAGCTGAACCTTTTGTTTATATTTTGCCAAACAGTGCTATATTGTCATCCTATTTTTTAAATGAGAAGCTGAATATTCATGGAAAGCTGGGCTGTGTACTGAGCCTGTTGGGGTCAACAGTCATGGTTATTCATGCCCCTGAGGAGGAGGAAGTCAACTCACTAGATGAGATGGAAAGAAAGCTGCGAGATCCAGGTCTGTATGCAATTGCAATGAACTTGTGCTGCAGTTCATAGAGAAGTGTTTGGGACACTGAGTAACTTTTACTGTGTAGTTGGATGTAATATGGTATTTTATTTCATGCGCATTACTCTCCTTCCCTTTCCTCTTTTTTTGCAGCATTTGTTACATTTGCTGTTCTCCTAACAGTTATTACCCTCATGCTGATTTTTATCGTGGCTCCAAGGAGAGGTCAGACAAATATACTGATCTACATTTTAATTTGCTCATTCATTGGTGCCTTCTCTGTCTCATCTGTGAAAGGCCTGGGCATTGCCATTAAACAAATGCTGGAGCAGAAGCCCGTTTATCAACATCCATTGGTTTACATGTTGGTGGGCGTGTTAGTGCTCTCAGTCAGCACTCAGATCAACTATCTCAACAAAGCATTGGACGTGTTCAGTACATCTCTAGTGACACCTATTTATTACGTGTGTTTCACCACGATGGTTGTGACATGCTCCATCATCCTGTTCAAGGAGTGGAGTAGTATGGATGTGGGTGATATAATTGGAACGCTGAGTGGATTCTGCAGTATCATCATTGGCATTTTTCTATTGCACGCTTTCAAAAATACTAACATCAGCTGGGGTCAGTTGATATCCACTGTTGCCAAAGAACCATCATTACCACACCATGAATATGAAACCTGCCACACTTTACTGGACAGCATGGAAGACCCACCTTTGGTGTATGAGGAGGACAACGTTTTATTCAGTCAATGAAACTCTCAAGTGGCATTCATCATTGAAGTATAATGAATTGCAGACTCAGCCCACCTGTATCTACTAGAATGCACTCTTTTTCTGCAATCCTCTGGAAAACCATCTGTAAGGCCAGTTAAGCGTGGGCCACTCCTCTATGTGCCATCTGTTAGTAGTAATAAATGAAAATGTTCAATAATTAACATGAGAGACAGAAACTGATGGTGATTGTATGTCAGACAATGAGCAACCTTGTCCTTTTTCTATGTAGCATCTCCTATTGGAGAATTTTAGCAGAAAAGAATGGTCTTTGTAAGCTATGTTTACAAAATGCCGTTTTCCTATCACGATAAAAGATAATCCTTGCCAGAGTGACAAGCACTCTGCTATTGTCTTAGTGATGGCCCTAATGTTTCAGGCTTTGTTTATATTTTTTGTAATTTATTGCCAAGGAAACTTGTAGGTAGTCTACCTGAAGGATATTAGTTGGAGATATAATATGAAGAAAATATTGCTTAACCTTTTTAGCTTTTAATATAATATTTTATCCAAGTTTTTCTAATTTTTGATGACTTGCTGATGAACCTTGAATAGACATCACCAAAAAATTATGAAATGCGGTTCTTGGTAACCATTCTCCTTCCAAATCAATTTTTTAACAGCAGTCTTAGCTCTTCTACCTTAGGAGTCCTGAATGGTTTGCAAATTCCTGAATGTGCATGTACCTTTTATTATAAAACTATGGCCAAGTTAAATTTTAAGAAAAAGCAAATTCATTAGAATTTTGCCTGAACACAGTTACTGTTGCCTATGTAAATATAAAAGAATAAGTTATTTGAAGGCAGAAGAAAACCAGAATGTGCATTTAGGAATTTCCACTCTGTTTTATGCTACTTCAAGGCTTAAGAAGGGGCTTTACTTATTTCCATACTTCTTACTAGTATTGTCATCTATTCATCAAACCCCATTTAAGCTTTTAAAAATTTTTCTAATTTTCCAGAAAGATAGCATTGTTTCTTAATAGCAAATCAGTCCTGTTATTTTATATTCCACTATAAAAGCAAAATCCATTTTCCAATCTGTGTGCTATTTGTGAAAATACTAGGTAAAGGAAGGGCTCTAAACAAGGGTTGAGAAACATCAAAACATCTTTTGTTGTAGATTGGCCTTTTTATCTTTTCTAAAAATTAGTATTCACCTCTATTAGATGTTTTAGCTATTAATCTACCATAGGCCTTGAAGATTAGTATCTGTACCACAGTATGCTCCTCAGTTGTGGTCACTGATCTTATCTCACAAAACCAGCTTGCACAGTCCATGTTTTACTCATTATAATCCCCTTTGTTGCCACTGTAAGCAAAAAAGTAGCTCCATCAATCAGATGTGTGGATCATGATGAGCTCATCAGAGAGATAGTATTTCCAGTTCTTGGATTTTTAAGTGTGAGTGCAGAACCTTTGCCAGAGGATGCTGGCATTTCAGCAAATGCCAGCAGTAAAGCATTGATTTTAATAAGCTGAAATTTATGTGCCAAGCAGAACCTCCTCATGAAGCAGGCTGTATATTCTCTAACACGCAAAGAGTGTAGTAAAAGTGGACACTGCAGATAGATAGTGAATTGTTCTGCAAAAAAAAAAAAAATCATAATTTAGCTGTAAAAGGGTTGCTGCTGGAAATATTTCATATATGTTTGTGTTGTGCAAAGTTTCAGTACTTCCTTTCTGAAAGACATTCATGAAACATCTCACTTGCTTATTTTTAATGATGCTTTAGAGGGTATCAGAGATACTAGGAAGTAGCACTAGGGATGCTAGCTTAAAGTTATTTCTAAATTACAAGCAGGTTTGGTTTTTTATCACTTGGCTAGGTTTGCAGTTGATGTACCTACAGGAAGAGATAGAAATTGTATCAATCACCTGCATCTTATTTATCAAACCTAATTTTTGCAACGTAGAGCCTATCTGAAAAACGTGATATTGAGAAGGGTGTCTGATTCTTCTGATAAAAGCACTTGATAAAATATTGCAGGTAATCTTGCCAATGCAAGGAGTAGCCCAGAAGATGTCATTAGCAATGGGTATTCAGGTTATCAGATGAGGTGATGTAATTACCTCATTTGAGAAGTACATTCAATAGCGCAGGAGGTGGCAGCAATGTTACCCCAACAAAAGAGACATTTTCACAAAAAAAAATTACTTGCCCTGAAAATATAGTGTATACAGCTTTGGAATATTTTTCAGCTTCCCAAGCAATGAGACTTACAGCAATTCTTTGCTCTTAAAATGCATGTCTTAAAAAAGCTTTGGAGTGGAAAATATATAAACAGGGTTTCATTACTTCTTAGGTAATGTAGAGCATACTTTGGCTTTATCGGCCAGATTCAAGCTACAAAATCTTAAAAATGTTAAAAATGTTAAAAACAGATAATAGAAATAATACAAAGACTAAAGATGGAGTTTTCTTTACAGTTTACATTTTAAAAAACACTTGCATTGCTTTTCACTGTGAATTACTCATACAATTTAAAGAGTAACTGAAGACAATATTGATTGACCCTAAAAAGAGAAAAATAAATCTTTTTGCCCAGCTGGTGGCCCTTCTGTTTGCTTTTACAGTCATCACTATGGTGTGACCAAATGGGTTATTTGTATGAAAAAAACAACCAGTCCAATTCTTGAATGGATATGTGTTGGCATTTTTTTATGATATGTAGTAATACTTTCTTTTCTGGGCTCTTTTTATCCCAACTCCTGGCAGTCAACTAACTTATGTGAAGCAAAAATAATGTATTTTCTACTGGGCCTGCATATTTGCTTTTATACATAAATAACATCTACTAGGAAAATATTTTCTTACGATGTCAGAAAACCAAAATTAATGCTTATTTTTGTGGTGTATAGGAAGCCTAACATGTTGAGAAGTAAACTATTGATTATCTTTTTCTAGAAAAAACATTTGCTATAAGAGATGTTATTTTTGAAGATGTTCATATTTAGTTATTTGGAATAATTTTAATTTTTAGTGAAATTATGCAAATATTTACCTTGTAATTATTCATGAGTTATATACTATATAATCAGTGTTTTTTAAACAAGGGATAAAAAGGAGTGTAATTAATATTTCTGGTAAGCATTTAAACACTATCTGATAGATCCAAAGCAAATAATCTTGGTTTTAGCAGCTGGACCTATGCACACAGAAGTGGATTTCAGATGAAGAAGGTCTGGCTGACGTCCTTGCAGTTCATGTGCATCTCAACTGATTGTGATCTTCTTTTAGTAGCTTTGACTTCTACTAGTTTTTCTGATAGGAAAAAAAAATTTCTACTCCCCTAGAAAAGCCGTGTGTGAAACTACTATAAATTCACCTTGAGCTAAAACGTCTGTAATGTTATGATGGAACTGGAGGGAAGAGCATGGGGAGATCAAGAGGCTTTAGCTTCTTTTACAGAATTACCCAATTTATCCAAAAGTGTTATTTTTATCCTGGTTGTTCTTTAGAAGGCATCAGCAAGGAACATTTAACGCTGATGATTAGTGGTCAAAAGACATGTATTTTGAGGGATAAAAATAACAGGCAAGTGAAAATGCCTTCCCTTTTAAACTAGGGAAGAAAAACCAAAGCTAATGTATTAGGGGTCTCTTTCTCATGGCCAGTCTAAATGGAGAGTATTTCAGTGAGCTGTCAGGTTTTCCAGGCGGTGAAATGAAGGGTATTATCTAAAGTGTTTTGGAAAGTTGGGGGGATGGATAAGAAATAGAACAAAGAAAACCTCAGAGGCAATACATTACTAACCAAATAATGGCTTTTAAATGCTGATATAGAACAAATCTTGGCAGCTTCACATTACTGCTGTACCTCAGGACAAATTAATGGGCAATTAAATTCATTACATAGCTGCACTGACTAAATGTAGGTAGGTCAAGAAGGCTTGGATAGGTTAAATAATCTGCAGAGAATTTGGAAATAGATAGGTTATTAGATTCTATAGAAACCTGTTCTACCATTTTCCTTTACATGCCTTCCCAGACATGCCTAAAGTAGCCATGCTATAAAAAATTTTCATCCCAAAGAGTACTGATTCAAAACTTCAGCCTCTTTACTCATCAGAGTTGCATCCTGGAGCTATAAGGGGAATTATATACTTCTAACAAATGGCATTCTCTTGCTGTTTAAATTCCAGCAAAGCAGCAAAACTGGCAAGTGTGTTAGAAAGTACTCTTTTAGCAAACCAGGCTTCCCGTAGCAGACTCCTTTCTGGCAGGTTTTTAAATGGTGCCAAGGTTCAGAAGAGGACGGGGAGGCTGAGCAGGAGTCAGGCTGGGGGTGCGTGAGGGAGGAGCAGCCTTGGTGATGTGCGTTGTTGTGGCTGCAGGGCTTCCCTCTTTGTGAAACTTAGGGGGGTAAAGTTGGTCTGAAAACCAAATGGCACTGGAGATAAATGTCACCAGACCTCTACACGCAAGTAATTCATCTGTGTTGTTCATCAGGAGTTACTTTTGAAATAATTCTACTTTCTGAAAATACATTCAGTTTGTCAACAATGTGGCTTTTTTTATAGAAAAGAGACATATCCTAAGTGGCTGGCACACAGAAGCTGGGAATTCTCTTTTTTTCCTCCCATCCATAATATTGACTTGCTGCAGGTTTTCTGATGTCTCATCAGGAAACATCAGCTGAATTTTTACACATGCTGAGCACTCATACAGCCTTTGACCAGACATTCCCTGTACAGAGGCATTACAGTGTCTCCTTCTAACCTTTACAGCTCTTCCAGGTCTCTCTTTTATCATACAAAGGTTTTTAAAAAGCAGCTAACAGTTTGCCTGCAGGTGCCACTCTATGATCAGTGACATGGGTGGCATTCAGTTTTCACCTGTGGAAGTACTTTCTTTTTTGCCTGTTTGAATATGGTTAGGGTTTGAGCTAAGTTCAGAGACACCAAGAGGACTAAGGTGGCCTACAGTCTTTATTTATGGGTGCAGCTGTCCTGGTAAGTAAATACACTGTAGATGTCTGACCTTTGTCCTGTAGACTTTTCCTGTGGCTGATTAAGCGCTGGTTTCCCTGGCTCTGAGGCACATTCTGGTGCTTTTTCATTTACTTACTGTCAGCCTGTTAAATTTATCTGTGCCAGGGTGTTAATAACAACCAACTCACAATTTTCTCAAAGCAGACTGCAGAAAGATTACATTGAGAAGCTGAAGCCTGGTAGGCAAGTGTTATTGGCTCCATGTGTTAGACCAGCGTATTTCAAGGATGGATGCATAGTCATCATGGTGAAACAGGCATCAACTCAATGAAACAGGCACGAGCACGTTGCTTTGAGTACATAAACCTAATGGTTTGCTGCACAATATTGTAGTGTATTATGTATTAACTTTTTAAAGTTAATAAATGTGGCAAAACCAGTTTTACAAGACCTATTAAAAAAAGATGCCTCATACATTATTCAAAGTCCCCATGTACTTTTATATTGCAGAGACAGTTTGAATTTCACATTTCACAGAGCATCATCTGTTGAAAAGCCTTGTGCTTCTGTGGCCTGAGCATAAATTGTGCTGAGCTCAATGTGTGCTACTGTGTTGTATAGATCTGTATTTAGTCACATGTCTGATATGGAATTGAATGCTTATAAACAAGTCCATTATAACAGTAAACAGCGGCATCAGTTGGTGGCAATTCTTCTAGCAGATTATATGAAACAATAGGCATGTCATGCTTCACTTGAAGCAGAAATGCCTCAGAAGTGTGTTTTAAGGTACTCCCAAATGTTCAAACAATAGGACTAACAACTTCCTTTCCCAAGGGATGATAACCATCAAAATACTATTGCAGGAAAGATAAATTATTAATGCCAGGAGTGAATTTGACCCAGAGATGCCATCATCTTCTGGAAATTCAAAACTTGGGATGTTTGATGTATTTTATTTTATTGTTACAGTTATTTTCTTTAATTTGGAAATGAAAAATTAAATTGTGCAGATCTCAATCATTCTTTAGCTAGTGTGTTTACATATTTTGCCTACAAAGTGCTATGAAACTAAATATGATTATGTATTTACCTATAAATAATTCTTAATACAATCACATATTTTAAAGAACCCATTTATTTGTAATGGTCTGACTGTTTGATATTAAATGATTATGAACTTCACCTGCCTTTTCTTTCTATAATACATATGTATCGACCACAGTTAAGATTTATAATTAAAAGTGAATAATAACATAAGAAGTAGGGTTACAGACATTGTCCATGTCAGGTATCACAAGATCCATCTGAGCTAAACTAGTTCAAAGTACTTTGTTTTCCTGTCAGGTTCCAGCTTTAACTTGCCCATTAACCATTCTGGGCACTTGCAAGGGGAAGACTAAGGCAAGTGTGGGCATTTGAGTAGGCAGCAGCAGGTGAGGAATGGGAGATAGTACTGGAAAATTCTGGGAGAGGTTTAGATAGAATAATCCTTACTCTCCTTCTTTTACACAGAATTGGTGGTGAAGATGCCTTGACTTGCAATGCAGGTTTAAAATGCTTCAGGGATGCTCAGTCTTTCCAGCTGCTCAAATATGACTTGGAAGCTGCTAAATGATGACTGCTCCCCTTGCTCCCTTTGCCTGCCTTTATCCACAGCAGTGGGTATGGGCACAGGTGTTCATCCTGCTCCAGCAGTTGGTCAGTTAGCTTACTGCCCCTTCTGAAACACTGCTCCATTTCTTCAGTGCTGGATGCTTTGCAGTGTGAAAGGGCTTGCTTTTAAACATGACCTAGCTAGAGCTTTGTCATAGGTTCTTCCATCATCTTTGCTGCTGTCAATCAGTATTCCCCAGTGCATGAGTCATATTAAGTACCAAATAATTTAATAATTTTCTTACAGGAGTTAGTGTAGCTCTGACCAAAAGAATAAATAAAAAAGCATGTAAGGTAAGCTTAGTTACTTCTTTTCAGACAGGAGTTTTTTCTCCCTAATCAAGAAAACAAAACCTTAGAGTGTCCTGACCTAGCCTCCTGAGATATCTTTCTCAAATGAGTAAAAATTAGGCCATGCCCTAACAGCTGCTTCAGTATGTAGGATGCTGGTCCTGAGATTTAAGTAGAGATTGTTGTAAAAGGCTGAGGTTTTCTGTATCAGCAACATTATTGACATGCTTAGTGCTAAATTTTCAGTAAATATACTGCTGTAAAATCTCTGGTTATCCCATCTCTGTTATATCAGTGAGGGTCTCTATTAACTCTGCAAAAGTAGGACGTCCTTCAGGTTTCTGAAAAGAAAAGCAGAGGATAAATTTATATTATCAGATTGATCAATTATAGTACCAGACTTCAGAAGATGGCTACAGGTACATTTGAGCTACCACTTTAAAATTACATTTTATTTTATCAGTGCAGAAGAAAGATTAAGTTTATCATTTGAGGGGAAAAAAATTATCTGTTCTTCATGACACCAGCAGCATGAGCACAGCCACTTTTAAAATCATTCCTAAAAGTTCTTTGTTTCAATTTTGGAACAGAATTCCTTTAGGATTTCTCCCCTGTAACGGGTCACTGGAAAGCACTACCTCTCAGGAAACCATGATACTCAGGAATGTATCAGGGGTGTTGAAAAAGGATCCTCACTGTTGTATCATTTGATGTATTGCAGCCCAGCATGGAACGAACTCCTTGGTGATGCCAGACAGAAAAGAGAACTTCTTCCCCAGCCCCCCTCTGCAGGCTGGCATGCCAATGGATGTTTCTAGTAAGCAAGCAAGCTAGATGCAGTTTAGATTTCAATCTCTTGAGCCTTTTTTTTACTCAGTGTCTAAAATTTCATATAGAGCTAAAAGATGGTCAAGAAAGGAGAGGTAGGATAAATGAGACAATGGTAGCAAAAAGGTTCCCCAGCTGCTCTCCATGTACCACTGCCTACTTACATGAAAGCATTGCACACAAAGCTCTTCTGAAAGTAATTTTTATCTAATACTAAAGATTCATTTCCTGTAGACATTAGAGAAGGAGGGACCTTAAGGGATAACTCAGATGGAGAAGCTGATGAAATCAATTATGTGATACCAGCACAGAAAGAAATAGGTGCTGGAGAAATGGAGAAAGAACATCAAGTACTAAATCAGAGTGGAGAAGGTGAAAGGGGTGCAGCCTAGGAGCTGTAGTGAGGTACAGAGGTACTGATGTGTATCTGAAAAATGGGGTTTACAATCCACATTTAGTGGGCATACCTGCTTTGTATATTATGTGTTAAGGTTATCATTCAGAGCTGAGCTAGAGAAAGCTATGCATGATTCAGAGGTGTGAAAAACGTACTACATATAACGCAGTGGAGAAGTGAGACAAAGAGTGGCACATTCAAAACTAGGGATGGTCTAGACTTCTTGTACTGATGATGTGCTTTGTATTTTTTAGATGCAACAGTCAAAAGAAACAGAGGCTTGTAAATCTAGACGTGATTTGTGAAAATCATAGTGAGAGATACTGAGGATGCCACAGAGGTGAAATATAAATTTAATGCCTCAATTTTTAAAGATTGCTTTTAGATCCACATTACAAATTAATAATAAAGTAAAGTAATATCACAGGAAGAAAAGGGCAACAAACCTCATGCCAGCAGCTGTACATGACTTTGTACACAGTATGTGATGCCAAATGTGGTCGATAAAGTCGGTTACCCTGAGAAATCTCATGGACAACTTCAGAATTTGACTTACTTTCAAAAGGCATTTTGCCTTCTGTGAAAACTTCCCACATCAATACACCTAGAAGTGAACCAAAATATTTAGGACAAAACAAAAAACCCCAAACCCACAAGCTATTTAACAATGTTAGAAGAACAAAAACCATGCTTGATCTTTTATGTATTGAAAAATGCATGAAAATATGGGCAACCTGGGCTAATGACGAAAGGCAACCAAAACCATTTTCGACTAATATAATTCTGTTCTCTTTTAAGTCAGCTAGGTTGGTGGTCCATGAAACTGAGATGAATGTACATTTGTCTGATGAGGACTTACCACATTTTGGTCAAAATCTAATTTTTAGGCACAGACCCTTTCTGTTGAAAAACATGCTTGTCCAATATATGCAAGATTTGAAAAATGGGAAGTACTAAAGCTTAAGATAGGTAGCATGAGTAAAAAGTTACACTTTCCTAAATCACATCAGTAGTTTTAGGGAACCACAGTATGTTTAGGGAACCACCTAATCAACTCACCAAATGACCAGACATCTGATTTGCTGCTATATTTTTTGAAATGAAAGACTTCGGGAGATGACCATTTGACTGGAAACTTAGAACCCGAGGAGCTGATATATTCATCGTCAATGACATACCTAAAGAATAACAGGAAACAGCATATATTTGAATGCTAGTTAAAAGGCAAGAAGTTCTGGTGACATTTCCACAGATTGTTTATAATTCTGTAAAAATACAGTGTCAATTTAGAAACAAGGAAATGGTATCACTAATTTAGAATAAAATGCACATAGATACCCACACTGGAAGCTATGTACTTAAAAAGATTTCTATTTAAATGAATTATTTGAATTGTTCATGAGAAGTATTTCAGAATAAAACATTTCAATACCATCATTGAGACTGACAGGATGGTTTTCATCTTCTGGGTATATATTGATAGGACACATCCCTTTACCACAGGCAGAAAAAACAGCAGCAATAAATAATTATTGTCTCTTTTTTAAAAAGTCCACCTTTTCAGCCATTTGTAGTACCCAAACACTACTGGAAGAGGGCTACACTTCATAACTGCCCAACTTCACAGATGTAATTTCTGGCACATTGTTATAGAAGCAGCACAGAAAGAAGTGCTCATCATATACAAGGCAACAGCTCTTGCAGGTGCACTGGAAAAACAATTTTTCTTTGCCCAAGCTTGTAGGAGCTGACCTCTTAGATGAAATTATGTGCCCGATGCAGGCATTTATAGGGCAGCAATTTAAAAGGCGACTAGACTGACCCCTACATACATACAAGGTCTGTGCACATTTTCCCAGTATTTAACATTCCTGAGCAGTCAACAGATGTGCACTGCACAACATTTGTTCTAACGGAAGGCTAAATGCATTGACACCTTTTAAAGCACTTTGTATAAAGGAGGTCACATTGAGATAAATCATCTCTCTGTCCCCCTTCTCATTTTGGTGCAGGCACTGAAAGATGAGATGTTATTGAGTAAGGAACATATGAAATAACAGCACAAAATAACCAGTAGTGGCACTTGTGTGAGCTCTGAATAGTTAGATTGTGTTCCCATCACCGCTCCATGGTGTCCTCAAGAGAGTCAATGTCTGTCCTAGGGCCTCACCACTGGTCTCCACTTCTTGGCAACAGTGAGCCGTTCAGGTCCATTATTCTCAGACTGGACTCTGACAGCCCCTTGATCTTTTACTGTGTTATCTGGTGCATTTGGATGAGTCCAGATCCCCGATACTGACCTAACCCTTATTGGGAGCAGTGCAACCAGTGGGCACTGCCATGGTATAGGACAGCCTTTTGAAAAACAAGTATTTAGTTATGAACTGCTGGAGTGTTGCAATCCTTAGGTTAGAAGTAGGAGACAAAACCAAAGGGAAAGGTAAGCAGCACAGCTGTGCTGATCTAGTGACTTGCAGCCACAAGGTGAATGTCACCGCCACCTCCTGCTCACAGCCACGCACTGGTCTGCCCCCAAAGTGAGCTGATTCAGTCTACTAATCAGAAAAACAGCCAGTAAAACACACAAGTGGAGAGTTTTTCTGGGCTTGCAAGGGGAAAGAAGGACTCAGTTGGTCATTCAGTCAGCTTAGCTATAAAATATAGCACATCCCGTCCTTGGAGGTCTTCAAGGCCAGGTTGGATGGGGCCCTGGGCAACCTGATCTAGTAAATGTGTATGTTTGGTGGCCCTGCCAGGCAGGGGGGGTTGGAACTACATGATCCTTGAGGTCCCTTCCAACCCAGGTCATTCTATGATTCTATGATTCTGTGATCCTCTGGGGGAAGTCTGTGAGTGCAGAGCTACATTTGTCAGGCCTGTGCTTGTCAGAATGCGTTGTGCTCTCCCCATCTTTGGCTGGTCCTCTCACTAAGAAGAAAAACCACTTCCCTGCTAGAGCAGTGCACATCACGCTTCCTGCCTGCCGCTCCTCCCTGCCTCCTGCGCGACCTACACAGCTGCCGCCACCTCTAAAGGTCAGCACCAGCGCCCGGGTCTCTCCCTAGGGTCTTTCTGTCCTCCCCGCTGCTCAGAAAAGTTGGGGTACTTGTTTCTTTAACTTTCTGGCAGCTCTCTGGATGGGCATTTCTCTGTCCATAAACACTTACAAAGTTCACCTGGCACTTTGTTTACCTGTCTTACACTCACCAATAGCAAGAGGTGGACACAACATCCAGTTCATGGTACAACAGTTAAACAACGTTGTAATTTTCATCAGAATTCAAAAATTGACTGCAGTGGGATTCCCCAAATCATCAAAGCAAGCAATGAGGTAAGCTCAAGGTCCTGGTGCAGCTGATTGAGAATAGGTACTCACAAAACCTGCATCAACGGCCTCGTACCTCGCCATGCCAAAGTCGGATACTTTAATGATGTGTTCAGCATTGACTAAACAGTTTCTTGCGGCCTGGGGAAGATGAGAGAAACATGTCTGAAATCTATGTTAAAGCATTTTAGGAAAAACACAACAGCTGATTATTTTTGTGCAGTGGCTCACTCTTTCTGTACTGACAGTATTTGTCAAGAACCTCAGAAAACCTATTGTACTTACTAAATCACGGTGAATAAAGCTTTTTTTTTCCAGGTATTCCATCCCTTCACACACATCCTGGCACATTCTCAGCAGCACATCTCTGCCAATTTTTCCCTGCCTTTGACGAAGGTAATTGAGCAGGCAGCCGTTTTCCATGAATTCAGTCACAACGTAGAGAGGCTTGTGATGTGTGCACACTCCGTAAAGCTGGACCAGCTTCGGGTGTGAGAGTTTCCTGTTTAAAAATCACGTTTTAGACAGGCTAGGATTTGTCCTTGGCAGGTAACTAGGCCTTAGATTCTCATGACGGTTTTGAAAAATGCTTTCAGTACTTGATAAACAGTATTCAATTCAACTGGCCTCAGGGTTGTCCCACTATCTAACAAACACATTTCTGCCTACAGTTTCTTCCAAAAGTGCACTGTTTGAATTAATAATTGTTCATCAGTTATATAAATGCAGTGAATGCAAGGCTTGATTCGGATGATGTGAAATGGAAAGGCCTAGTTATGCTGGTTTTCAGGCAGGGGACATAACCCTGCAAGGATTCTTCTCTTCTAGCCTGTGCCAAGACCCAGTCTGGATACTTCCCTAATTTACCAACTTAACAGAAATGGTAATTGTTTCTCAAAAGCTTTAGTTAGGTATGAACGAACTCTGACAGTGATCCTAGAGGCACTGAGTTATGCATGAAAGAACAGTTGTAGGAGCATGTTTGTTTATCAGCACATTTACTCCCCATTGAGCTCCACAGCACAAAGCAGTGCACACTCTAAAGAAAGAGTCTGGCAATGGGTGCAGTGAGCATCTGTGTCAGTCTGATTCAAATCTTTGTATCCGCCTTTCTGTCCTGCACATCCAGCATTCCCACCAAACTGCTGTGTCTGTTTGTTTTAAATTGAATTAGATTATATTTATTTCTTGGTCATCTCAATGTCAACTGTCAGATATAATAGCTTTTGTACTTACATCATCACTTTGGCCTCCTCAATAAAATCATCTTCAGACATTGCACCTTCATTGATTGTTTTGATGGCAACCTTGATGGTTGCTTTCCATTTACCCAGCTGAACAACTCCAAACTGTCCACGCCCAAGTTCTTTCATGAATGTCAGTTCAGATGGGTTTAATTCCCACTCCTCTATAAAGGAACCCAGTAAGTTACAACAGTCAAGTGTTCATCCAAATATCTGGTAATTTCCAGGTGCTCATATATGTTTATATGTGAATGTTATTTTACAGCCTGTAGAATGATTAGTGCTTAAATTGCTTAACGTAGGAACGTCTGAGGCTTGACGAAAACACAAGTATTTAGCTTTGACTACATATGAGAACTTTTTTTGGCATTATCACATGTGACGCTGAACTCTGAACCAGTTCTGAAAGGATAGTATTACTGTATTGCTGTGCTCTATTGTATTGCTTTGCCTCTATTGTAATAACCACAATAGTTCTGCCCTTCAAAAATATTAAGCCTTGAGATTAATGGGAAAATTCACAGGAAGGATACATGATTTTTAAGGTTCCTGTCATCAGCCAGATAATACAAACTTCCTGATCTGTATACACAAAACTGGCATTTATTTCTTGTTTTCTAATACTGTGTAAAATTTCATTCTTATTCCTGAAACTTGCAGAAATGGCAAGGAATATCTTCCCCATAAGTATTATTAATTTCAATTTCCTAAGCATTTAAATAAATCAAATAGCCTTTGAAAAGCTATTAAATACATGTTTGAGGCTTAGGTCTGCTTAGGAAAGTCCAGATAGCTCTGAAGTTCACCAGTGGTTGTAACAGAAACACAACAGTCACTGAATAGAAGGACTTGAGCCAGGTCTCTCGTTCGGTACTGATGCCTTATGAGGAAGTGAGTGTCTGTTTCTGGTGAATATGTGGCTGTTTATGTATTTCTTATTACTGGGAAATTTTCCAGATACAACTTAATTATTAGCTGGGTGAATGTGATCTAAATCTTTGCCTAGGCAGATACCTAAATCGCCACCAAAAGAAGATATAAAATTTACCATAACTAAATCCTGCTGTTGCTGGTGAAGAACATCCATCTAATCCAACTGGATGTCGGAGACGAGTGATAAGACCTGTAGGGGACAAAACAACAATATTCTGTTGACCAATTACTCCATTTTAAAGTACACTATATCGTACCACTTCTTAAAAATATTTGGAAGCTGATGTACATTTCTTATTTCTTGAAGTTACTTTTGCTTACAGCTTGTTTGGGTAAAACACTACAGTGAGAAGAAATGGAGGAAGACTATAGGGCCCTGAATACAAAAGTATCTATCCTTTAATACGACCAAAAGTTATACTCTTCCTTGTTTGTGTGATGTTAGTGATCTTAAATAAATGAGTACTACAACACTATATCACGCACCTAAGCAGTATCTTCCAGCATGATTTCTCAGGATCGTTTCTCATTGAAAGAAATATTTTTGTGTCTGTCATTCATTTTCTTTGAATTAATGAGCCAGCAGTAACAGTGAGCACATCCCTCACCAAGGTCTCCCAGCATTCATTTGTTCTTCCCACTGTTACTTTCAGGCCTTTTCTGCTTTCTGTGTTTCCTACAATCGTCCTCTCACCAGCAAAGGACTCTGTCCATTCCCATACCTTCCTTCCTTACTAGTGCAAGGAATCTCTGTGTGTTTTCCCATCTCCATTCATTCAGAGTAAAAACACATTTTATAAAAATGGGCAGAACCAAAGTGAAGGGCATTTTTTAATGATAAAAATCATAAAAGGCTGCTGTCAGACAACAATTAGAGGTGACTAACTCTGGTAGGCTGCAAACCAGTGTTAGAGTCCTTGTGCTCTCTAATTCTGCATTTAATTGTTTGTGGGGTGGGTTTTTTGCCAAAATCAGTAGAATGCTGCATGCTGATGCACAGCATAGCTCCTGCTTTTCTTAAATTGCATATTTGAATTCATTAACAATAGAAAAACTCGTGTCTCTTTTTATAAGGAAAGTATTAGAGGAAGCATGATTTCCAGTCTCTCAAAGTCCTGAGGAGCTTCAAATGATCTGTTGTAAAACCTTATCAGCTTGCATGCGTTACCTGCAGCATTGTGTTGATGATACTCGATGAGTTCAGGAACAGATGAAAAGAGGTATTTTTCTGCTACGTAATATTGTCCCAAGTGGTTTTTCTTAATTTGATAATGCCGAATATCTCCACTATGAGTTCTGAAATCAACAAAGTATTATAATTTTCAGTAAAAATAATTTATACTATAAATCTGATTAAATTTCACTTTGAAAGAAAGCACATAAAAATCTGAAAGCTTGGGGTACAGTTCTCAACTTAAAATAGCTGTGTGTAGCTGGGATAGTGTTTCAGGAAAAAAAAAAAAAGACTCCTTGAGTGGATCTCTCTCCCAACTTTGGCACATATTTCACAGTGTTTTTTATTGCACAAGTATCGTTGTATAGCCATAGAGTTTAACAGATGTTCCTCCTAATCCAGTACTTACTTGAATCTGAGCTTTTAAAATTAAAATGCTCTTCATTACCTGAGTTTCCCCTCCAACAAGTTAAAAACATATTCATGTATACTGTGAGATTACACTTTCTGTTCTGCTTCTCAAAAGGCTCCTCATTGGAGCTTTTGTTTCATACATTTACTTTTCTCTATTTCTCCACATTGTCTGTCTATCTTGCTTTCTGTCCATTTTGCTGCCCATCTACCCCTGCTTTCTGGGAGATTCAAATTGAAGAAGTTAGGTTTGTATTTCAGGCTGGAGGTGGTTGCTGAAGGTTGGTACCCCACTGCAAACGTGAGCCTGTGCCCAGTGCAGGGAGTGGCAGGGAGGGCTCCAAGGAGGAGTGGGAAAGAGAAAGAGGGTGGTGGAGCCAGAGATGCCTTTTCCTTGCTCCTCTCACCTCTGGCTTGATCTGAGAGGAAGAGAAGGAAAGCAGGCGCCACTGATACAGGAGGATGTAGGAGGGCGGAGAGAGGAGGGTACAAGGCAGCTCAAGAAGGGATAACTCAGCGCTGTAGGTGATTGCTACTGATGTGGGGGGAAAGCGAGTCCTGTGGCAGACCTCTGGCAAAAGAAGTAAGACTGCACAGTGAGGAGGTGAGGTGATTTTAGGAGAAAAGCAGAAGTTTAGGGACAGCAGAGTCTGGGATGTATTTACAGTGCACAGAGACTGCGGAGAAGGGAAACGGTTCGGTGCAGGGGCCAAAGGCTATGGCGGTGTGGTGTGGCAGCCATGGCACTTCGTGTAGAAAGAGAAGAAAGAAGATGCAAATGTAAGGTCTTATTACCTGCATTACATGAGTGGAATGCACAGCTTTCACAGCAGATTATTTGAGAATTTCAATTAATGCAGTTAATCTTGTCTTGGCAGGACATTTGCACCCTGACTCTCAGATCCACTGCCCACCACCACCATTTCTGCACATGGGGTAATTAATTCTCAATTAACAACACCCCAGTGGTTACCTGCTGCTGTGCACTGCATGTCCAACCTACCCACTTATCCTGAGGAGTTTGAGAGAAGCTCTTCTGTCAGCTCTTGATTCAAACCCTAACCATTCAGAGCAACTCACCCTTTAGCCCGTGAATACATGGACAGCGTAAGAAGTCCCCCTTGGCTTGAATCTCTGACAACAAATGCACCTTCTTTGGACTGGAAAGAAATCCAGGTAGAGTTATTTTCTGCCCTTAAACTTGAATAATCCTCCCTTGAGATAGGACTTGCAGCTGATTACCAAATTCTGTGGAATACCTATGACTACTTGGGAGGGGGATAAAGCAGTGGAGAATGGGAATTGATAGCCAGGTAGATAGCAGAGCAAAATTAAGCAAGGGAAAATAATAACTGCAAGTTAATTTATTGGAGTTAAATAATTTAGGTGAATTATACTATTTAATGTGATGTAGTGAAAATGCTTTGATTTATTAAAAAATCAAATTGTACAAATCACTCTAACAAAAGACTGTAAACCAGTTCTCTCTGAGATGTTCTTCTCCGGTCTACTTTGCCCAAGCCCTGTGTTAGTCCTTGAGACTTAATGAGTTTAACTGAGTTGGGCACTTTGGTAACTGATAGGGGGTAGAATGCGATATGGTTTGTTTGCTCTATACATAAGGAAGACACAGGGGTTTTGTTAAGCTCTGCTAACATACTTACTACATGGATTTCAGTCTTCTATGTCTCATACAAAGGACAAGCACAGTAAACCACATGTAACTTGCTTTATCTAGTGTGGAAAATCTACATAGAATTTTCTGGGGCAACAACTTAAAACTCTGTTAAGTTGGGATAGTCTGCACTGCACACATACCCCAGAAAGTAATTTTGTTTTAAAGGACTCTCTCTCTTACTGCATACCAAACAGACTTGGATTTGACTGTGGTAACGCTCTTGATGCCTCTGATAGCTCTTTCTAGATATCATTAGCTCTTTGTGCAAGCTGAGTTACCTTCTGGTGCAAGAGAAGTTCTGCCTGGCTTCTGTTTATGTTTTTGCAGTACCACCTGCAACAAGGAGATAACCTATCCTTTAATTTCAGTCACTAGGAATTATATGTTTGCTCTGTTTCACAAAAGTAATCCATCTTAACAGTTGCACTATTCCCCGTCCAAAAACCTGAATGGAACTGTTGTTGTATATAAGCATCTTTTAATTTGGAATTACTTTATTAGGTCACTGTAAATATGACAACTCTTTTCCCCATTCACTGTGATTAAATATGAGCTCAAACAAAAGAAAACACAGGAAACAATGACAAACTGTGATAAGATTTACAGTCCCACTCACTGTGTCAAGCCTCTCTTCTCTAGAATTTTGCAGAATTTTCTCTTCAGTAAATTAGGTTGAAGCAATTGGAAGTAGCTTCTAGCCAATTAATTACATGTTTACAATAGGAAACATCAGAATATAGAAGCATTATGTAGTGAGCTTACAGAAATAGGAAACATCTGGATTCTGGCATTCTGATTTATGCAAATGAATGTAGTTGAAGTACTCAGTGTTTGTAACTTCACGTTACACTCTCTGAGCAAACAGTTCCCAATCAAAACAGTTACTTCATTCTCAGAGTAATATTTTGTAATAAAAAATAGACCTTTCAATAAACATCTGTCCATGTCTAATAAAAACTGAAGGATTAAGCACTAAAATGTATCAGTCCAATCCATTTATAGAAAAGAAAGCACAATTATCATTTTTAAGGCTACTTACTCATATGTTTCTAGATTACTTTTCTTATTCTCAGTAACATAGTTGCTGGGAATTAGGCCTTCATTCCTGAAATGACATATTGAGGATAGTGTAGATTGGATATCAGGAAAAATTTCTTCACTGAAAGGGTTACCAAGTATTGGAACAGGCTGCCCAGGGAAGTGGTTGTGTCACCACCCCTGGAGGTATTTAAAAGATGTGTAGGAGTGGTGCTTAGGGACACAGTTTAGTGGGACCTGGCAGTGTTAGGTTTATGGTTGATGATCTTAAAGATCTTTTCCAACTTGAATTATTCTATGATTCTATGATTCTGTTATAGTAAGGTGTAAGATATATATCTTCCTTTTGTTGACTTATAAAGGTTACTTATACTATTGGCCATGTTGTTAGATACTGAATCCCAACATGGGAACTGAACAGAAGTCTGAGTTCTTTTATCCCAGGCACAATATTTCTGCCCCACAGCTGTGGATGGCTACTCTAATTAATAAGTCAGCTGGAAGAGGATATTTATAGAGTGCTGAGAGCAGTATGTTAATGAAAATTTTCAAGTTAAACCACAACAAAATTTAGAAAAACTGACATTTCTTCTGAATCAGAAGCCACTCTCATAATTTCTAACCTTGTAACTATATAAAGCTTTTTTTAAAATGCCAAGTGTATAAAGCGTGTGCTTGCATGTATATACAAAATAATGACCCAGTGAACTCACACTACAAATATGAGTTGAGAAAAAGCATTTACAAGTATTTAAAGGAGAAATCTGAATGCAAAGGAGACAGATATTATATAACATATAACCATTCCCAGCATGACAATACAGGATACACTGAAGAAAATCCGAAGGAGAAAGGGGAAGGACACGAAACAAACATAAATGTGGAAGGGATCCTAACCGAAGTTATCTAGCTCTCTAAAATATCCAGGAATTTTGGATCAGGGATTTTGTTTCAGGCACATGTCTTAATAATCTCTATGGTCTTTATGAAGTGTTTACACATGTACACTGCATTGTAAAGCATTTGAAGTATGGAAAGCTGGCTTTGTGCATGGCTCAGAGCCCAGTGATTCACGTGGTCCTCGACCGCCCTTATGTTGCTCAGGAAATTACTGAGTCTAGGACTTAACTCTGAATTCCCAACACATTCTAGATTCCCCACCCATTTCAGGGGCACCAAACACTGCTGGAAGTCTGCCTGGTCAATCTGTGTGCCTCACACATAGATGAACACTTTCACAACTGTCCCTAAACTGTTGCATGTGTTTCATTCTATCTGCCTGCTTTCACAGGGGTTGGTTTAGGTTTTTTCTTTCTGCATAGGGAGATTGAAATAGGTGCCCACTCTCTTACCCATGTTGGTCTCTTGCCTTCCACCAGTGGGGATCATACTGTTCAAGGATAATGTATTCTTCCAACTTCTTCAGTGGTAAATATGAGGGTCCTCTAGCAAAAAAGTCATAGAGTGCAATAACTCTGGGTTTTTTTGTGTTGTCTTCCAAGGCCTCGGCAGGTAGAGGAGGTAACGGCTTGTTCTTTAACTGCAGTTGCCTCTTATGCTAGTGAAAAAAAAAGTAGCTTTCATTATTAGTCTTTTCTCCTTACTATTGCTTGCTTAATTCCCCTGCTATTATACTGTCTCAGTAACTGAAAGGAACTCATCGTGGTCATTGCTTCCCCTTGTACAGCACTATCACCTCATCACTTGTAAAACAGTGAGACTTACATTTGAGTAATTTGGTGTAGAAGCCAAAATGACAATGGAAAGAATAATAGACAAGCCATCTACCTAATCGGGGTGACTTCTACATGTTATGAATGCTGAGACAGCCCCTCAGCTGGTGTAAAAGCAGAACAGCACTGAAACCAGTGGGGTTACAATGTCTGGAAATTCGGTCATTTATCTGGAGAATTAACACAGAGGGTGCTGTAGACTTTCTTAGCAAATCAGCGGGAACATAGTAATTTTCTTTTGCATCAAGTTAAGTTCTATCTTTGCACTTTGTTATGCTTTGAAAACACAGATTATTCCACTTAGATCTAGTAAAACTGTTGTGGATGTTTTACATGCCAGTGGAGCAAGATGAGCTTGCATCTGCCCAGCAGGACAGTCTCACCCTTCCCACCTCCATCACCCAAACGCAGAAGTGGGAGAAAGAACCACCTTATCCATGACAGAGAGCTTGGGAAACCTCACTGTGGCCCTGTATCAGTATGAATCTTCAGATACTTTTACTGTGTAATTTTTATGCAATGAAGCACCTTTCATGCTCAAGAGTTAGTTATTTCTCTGCTTGTTCTGGTACTGAGCTACCATAATGGCACACCACCTCAATTCTCTCTTTTCACCTGCCAAAACATTACTTACCCTGCACTTCCAAGTAGCTGCATAGGAAACATCTGGTTGTGAGGCTGAGTACTGGGTCACCAGGCCAGTATCAGGGTCCAGGTTAATTTTTGTTCTCATTGCTCTGATTTTGAAAAACACGAAATATTTGTGTGAATACATAGCTATAAATTTATATTCACATCAAATATTAATTTATGGAAATAGATGCCTTCATATTGGGGAAATGAACAGTAAAGCTTCTTTAAACTTCTGTACAATCAGCAGTTCTACTGAAATTAGAGGTATTTTTTAAAGTCCTTTATGGGTAGATGTTTTGATTATCCTAATTGCTGAAAAGCTTGAGCATTTCACATACCTTTTTTGCACTGTGCAGCAGCAGCAGCAGCAGCAGAAAACAGACTGGATGGTGTGATCTGTGAAGAAGAACATTTCCCGTTTTTGCAGTGTTCCTGGTTGCTTGTTTACAAAACTTACTGAATTAAAGACTACTGTATGTGCTCAGCCCCATTATTAGCTCTGTTTTGCTGTGAGATATCTAGCAAATCATCAAAGTTGAATTTTCATCCACCAAACAGAGCAGATCTTTCCTGCTGCTCCATCTATTTGCTCCCACTGTCGCCCTTACAATGTCTTAGCAATTATGAGGTCATGTGATGAGATAAATCAGCTCACTAAATCAGAAAGAAAAAATAACCTTGTCAGCTGGATCATTACCCATCTGACTGATCACCCCATCCCGTGCAAGCTCTAATCAGTGCAGTAAAGGGGATGAGAACATCCTCAGGGACAGGAGTTGGAGAGCTGTCTCCTTCAGCAATTACATAATTTTTAGATCATTCAAGCCAAATACAAAACCATACTTGCATGACAAGCTTCTTCTTATTGTGAGATTTATTAAAAGAGACATGCTACATTCAATTGTTTGAATTAATACTGATTTTCCCGTTTCTGTTGCAGCCATTAATATGATGTATGCATTAGCCCAGGTTTAAATGCTAGCAAAGATGTTCTTTACACTTATGTGCCAAGTGGTTGATGATAAGTCTGAGAAAAAGACATCAGACACATCATCACATATCTCATACATTTACAGAGAAATCCATCTAGCATATCTTGTACGAGCAGCAGAGATATGGTATTAAGTAGGTCAGAAGGCATTAAGAAGATTTGAACGAGGTAAATAACTGGTTGACATCCACTCTGGTCTACGTACTTTCCCCAGCCTGTGTTCTCCCAGCAGTTTGCATCAAGCTGTGGCCGCTATGGTCCCCTCCCCTTTCCCCTGCACTGCTGCTCATCTCATCTCCAACAGAGCGAGACAGGATGCTAAACCAGTGGGGAATCTCTCTCTGCTGGGTCAGATCCCTGAACCATCCCAGCGTCACTCATTGCTGGCAGGTGGGTGGGAGGGCAGCAGCACCAGGGGCTGGGCTCAGGCGCTTGGGTGCGATGCATGCTCTCTTAGGAAGCATGAGAGCCAGGCATGCAGAGACAAGGCTCCAGTCATATTCAGCAGCACTGGCAGGAAATAAACTTTGTGTCTCACTCCAATAAGTCCTGAGTTTTCTCCACCACAGAGGTCATGGGACAAAAAGAGGCCTCAGAAAGTTATTTGAAATAGACTATCTGAGGTCTTGGTATTTTGTTAGTTTATCTTTCACAAGTTATGTCTTTCTCCTACCAGTCCCACCAGTGTCTTCCACTTTATTTGTTTTTATCTCATGGCATTTTTGGCTTGTTGATCCTAATAACTCAATCCAGCCTGGAATAAATAGGATGTCCCTTCTGGTGTTCTGTAAGACTTTTTGCCAATGCCCATTACCAACGTTTCAGCCAAATGTGCTGAGAGTATGCATCCTAGAACTCAAAAACATTAAGCAACCTTACTACATGATGAAAATGCAATTGTTTTCTCTGTGAAGGTACCTAATTTAGCAAATCATGCACTAATAAAAGAAGGTAGAATGTCAGATGTCAGAAAGATAAGACCAAAACTATTTCTTAGCTGGAAGAGGAAGAGATCTGTCTCATATGTGTTTTGGTTAGAGTATTTATCTTGAAAGTCGTGGGGCAATTTCCCTTAGACTGTTGCATCCTGTGAAGAACCTATCGTGTGGGAAGCTGGTGAATCAGAAGACACTATCAACTGATAAAATTTTCCGCTGACGGCTATGCAAAATGCAGCAATTATGAAGACCCAAGCCAGCTGACACCGACAATTTTCTTCAAAGAAATCAGGCTGACAAGATTTGGTCAATGCAATTTATTTGCTGCATAATTTTCACATGTACTTTAAACTGTCCCTCAGCTTTTTAAAATTATAGTGGCTGAAGTTTGCCTGAACATGGTCTCTAGCATTGTTTTACTAGAGAGTTGAGATTGATTGTCTAGGTAAAAACAAGTTTGGAATGAAAATCACTTTTAAAAAGTCAGCTAGGAATTATTTCTCATTTGTTTCTATTGTTTTTTTGTTCTCCAAAACCCCCCATATATTCAAGAATGTAGTAGTGTAACAGTGTTAAGGAGTGAGTGTCTCTAAAGCACTGTTAGTTAGTGCCTTGGAAGCATATTGCATGAGAGTGTGGTCTTGCAGGTACTGTCTTTTGAGGAAGTTATGGCAATTTCATTAGAAATAACCTTGTGTTAGGTTCCCATTTTTTTTTATAATCACTCCTGTGTCTCATAAACAATGAACACCATGGGTGAAAAAAATTGTTTGGTTTCTTCAACTTCAGCCAGTGCCATGAGGTTTAATTGATGTTTATAAAGTTTTTAGTGATGTGCAAAAGGGAATATGACATTTGAAAGCTTGTCCGCTTCCTCTGATTAAACCACCTAGTCTAATTAATTATTTTATTCCTTATCAGACAACTTGCTCTCCTTGCTCACTTACCAGAAATATTTAGAAGCAGCACTATGGAGTTTCAATGTGGCATAAGAATGGTCTTCTAATAAGATTTTAAAGATTTGGCTGTTAGCATGAAAGCAAGGGGTTCAGACTGATGTTTGGACGTGTAATTCAGTTTTGCTTTTCTTTATGAGCCCAACGAATAGGATAAATTTGTAGCATAAGCTCAGGAATCCTTTTTGTCTTCAGCGAATTTCAGACTTGCTCTGTTAATGGATGCTTTTCATGTTTGATCCCCTTCTCCCCTTCCCATGCCCCCACCCCTGGTCACTGTGCTCAAAGCAATTAGCAGTAAATGAATGTATGGGATGTTTTTTAAAACATCCTAAGTATATATGATATTAAGTATTTAGTTTCTTGTCTTGTTCGTAGAACCACAGAAAAGGTGTAGTTTAGAGCTTTAATTACCATACTTGGTGAGTGATTTCTCCAAGGCTAGAATGTCTAACCAATTAAAGATCACAAAATATAAGCAGGTTCTTCAGGCTAAAAGTTAAGGCTTAGAGTAGACTAAGGCCATGGGCCAGATAAACCCATGCCAAACTGAATTGCTGGGTCCTGAGGAGCAGCACAAACTTTGCACAGTTCTGCAAAGTTTGCTTCTCCTCATTCTCCTTATTGGAGTATTTTAAGTGTCAAATCACAGCCTATCAATCCAGCAGATATTTATCATCCTGAAGAGCACTTCCAGCTCTTTGGAAACAAACCTGTCTTTACACATCTGTTCCTGGCAACCTCGACGCTTCTGAAATTCTTTTGTCCATGCATTACTCCTAGAGCGCTTGTGGAATCAATTCAGTAGAAAATAATACTAGCATAAATTAATGCAGTGCAAACTTAATTTCTGTTTGGAAATTTGTCAAGTCTGCCAGGATCCGTTATCAAGGAACACAGAGCCTTCAGTTCTGCAGAGCTGAGTCCTGCTTTATTTAAATTGACTTAAGTCAGGAAGTTTTGACCTGATGGATTGAAATTTCAGCATCTCAGACAAAGACCTATATATTGATCTATACATTTTACATCCTCATGAGTCACTGGTAAGCTTGTTACACACCACTTTTTCTCCCCTTGATTAAAATAATATTTTTTGTGTTCATAACTTCTACAGAAATTCTCAAAGCTGTTCTGCAATGCTGTTTTAGAAAGACTTGGCCAACACTTCAAATGGTGAATGTTTTGATACACCAAATGAATAATTTTATTAAACTGGCTTGCATCTTGACCTTCTGCTGGTGGCCGAGGAAGATGTTCATGCTGAGGGCTGCCCGCAGGTGCCACAGCAATGCTTACTGCAGGGCTACAGGAAGCCTGCATTTCCTGCCCAAAGCTTCTCACAGCTACACACACCCTCTTGTGACTCAAGCTCTTCCTTCCTTTCTCTTTTCTTCTATTCAACAGCCATCAAACTCAGAAATAATAATAATTTTTAAACCCCTGCATTTTAATGTGAAAAAGCACTATCTTTTAAAATGCAAATAAGAAATTGAAAATAAATTATTAGAATTGACTCATTGTTTTAAGTATTCCTTCTTGATTTTCCTTTCTGCTATGCCCAAACTCAAATTACTGAAATCAATGGAACTATTCTAGCCAATTTCCTTCAATTTCAGACCAAGGACATTTTCTTAACCAAAATACTTCGGATTTGTCAAAGAGTGTTAGAGTCACATACGTATTAGCAGGCCTTGATCCTCTGGTCCCTAACCCAAGTAACCACATTGAAGAGTTCATAAATTGAAAGTTAATCAGTGATGGTATTCATGAGAGTTGTGCTTCAGCAAGGAAACCACATTTTGGATTCCATATTTTGAAGAGAACAGAGACACCAATAAGGTCTACCATATGATGAATGGCAGACTTACTGCTTGGACAAGACACAGGGAAGAAATATAGGCTAACAAAGGAACTACTCAATAATTTTTAACAGCAAATTATTTTTGGAAGTCTTTTAAAATAGCTATGGACCCACCACTGTTTTCAGGTCCTGCTTCTGTGTTTCCTACATACTCAACATTTTTACAAAACATCCAAAAAAATTGGTCAAATCTTGCTTCTTTTAAATCCACGAGAAGGTTTCTCCAACATCCACAGCCCCTCTAGACCTCTCAGCCCACATTTGGTGAGTTCTTTCAAAACATAAGCTACTGAAACACATTTGGCTTTGATCCTCAGGGTGTATAAGTCATCATGGAGCAATTAACGTTAACAGCTTAAAACTTAAGTTTAATTCAAACAGGTTGAGTATTTAGGCTGTTGAATCTAGAATTTGCCAAGTCTTCCTTCTATAATTGTGTGTCACAATTGAATTTAATTTCTCCAATTTCTGGTGAAAGCTTGCAACCTCAGACTAAGTTCAGCTAATTCTACAAATAATTTAACACAGGAACAAAAACATAGTCCATTTCACTGCTCATGTCTTTTTCTTTCTGGAAACAACCATATTAGGAGGAGCACACTTGGTTTTAAAAAAAGTGTCAAATTATCTCCCTAGTGACAGGTTAATAAACACGAATCCCAACACTAGCACAGAGCCATGATAGCCTATTGAATTCTCATGCCCAAAATCACAGCTTTTAGCAGGCACAGTTTTGAAATGGGAAAAGATATTATGGCAAGAGAAGCACCTGGATGAACTGGAAATACTAGGAAACTGGTGTTGAAGCTAGCCTGATAAATTTGCAGCTGACATCTTGATAACCAACTTAGAGGCCTGAAAACAAATTTATCTGTGCACAACAAGGCAGTGGGATGCTAGAGGAATATAAAAAAGACCGGGCAGCTGTCAGGAGCAGAGGTTTGCTTGAGAAGGGGAAAGATATTCCCACAAAAAAGAGAAGGCATAGCGAAAGCACACAGGTCCTTTGAGGTGGTCCATTGCCTCCAGTAACAGGCCTGATAAAGTTCCACAACACCCGCAGTATGCTTTGGGTTGATAACATTGTCTGTACAGGTGGCCAATTCACACACCTTTGTATGTGCAGTCTTTCTCCTGGCTTCAGTTATAAGTCACTCTAATTCACAGCCTTGGGGAATCATAGAAGGATTAGGGTTGAAAGGGACCTTAAAAGATCATCGAGTTCTAACCCCTTCCACTAGACCAGGTTGCTCAAAGCCTCATCCAGCCTGGCCTTGGAAATAGTATTTTTTATCTTGGAAAGATAAAAGCAACAAGTTTGAGATTAATTCTTATAATTTGCATTTTATCATTTATTATTTCATAGGTTTCTTGGCTTGAGTTTCTTTTTCTGATTCACTGTATCTCAAAGCAGTTTTTGAAAGCACTGTAGTCAGTGTCTAGGACTTGCTCCTTCTAGCATGTTTTACAAGAATTTCTTGCTCTTGCAGTGGGGCAGCAGGTTAACTGTGTTCAACACTACAAACTCGGCTTCGCCCATCAAACCTAGATCTTTACTGCAACACACAGTATGCCTCCTGATCTGGTATGTCTGTTTCCAACAGTACTAGAAAAATCAATAATCTAGTCGAAAGCCACAGTATAATTTACTTCTAAAAATACTTTCAGATACAAGCTTTCAGCTTTTCACATGTGCAAGCTGAGGCTTTCTGTCTTTCCCGAGTTAATTCTGCGCTGGAGGAAAGGCAGCTCTAGTTCTACTGGACTTCTTATTCATGTCTATGCTGTACATACTTTTAAGGACAGTATGTGGGAATATCTCCCTATGTATACATAAAAGTAGTTGCTTTGCTGAATCCATCATACAGTCGATTCATCATCATGCAGTAATGTTGAAAGTCAAGACAAGCAGTCTGAACAGAGATCACCCGAGCAGCACAAGAGAAAGGTAGTTGGTATTTTTACAGCAATAATTAAATAGCTTATTTGCTAAGTACACTGCTGCTGGACAAAACAAAACTGCAAGGTGAAAATACACAGCCCAGTTTACTTACAGGTAGAAAGAATCATGTCTAGTTGTCCACTTATATTCAAATGAAAATGCAAACCTCTCTTCATCAGTTGTGCCAGTAAAACAGCCCTAGCTGAGCTCTGATACGAAACATGGTAAACCACAAACACTGCTTGACCCCGCCTACATACCTTTTTTTTTTTTTTAAAAAAAAAAGCCACCCCTGACAGATTAGTATCTAATCTTACATCTGCTTATTAAAAAAAAAAAAAAAAGTGAAAAAAGTGCCTGCTTTCTAGTATCAAACACATTTTACAGAAAAAAAAAATAAAACTGTAATGAGTAGGGCTAAATATTCTTTAAAAGAAAAGGAAAATAAATACAGCAGATGTGTATCACAACATTTGGGTCTGTTCAGATGAATGAATTTTTTATGCCAACGTTTGAAAAAATTCAGTTATAATTAAAAGGGGAAGCACTGAAGCTGCTTAAGGGTGTGTCAGTTCATCTAGAAGCAGCGATGGTGCAGTATTTCAATCTGTCTTTGAAGACATTGGGAGAGTCAGCAACACAGCTGCATCCAGAGGTGTTCTGATCCTTTCCAAAATTAACCATTTAAGACTACATTCAACCGAAAAAAAAAAAGCCTTCATCTGAAAAATAGGTGCCTCACAGTTTCTGGCATCCTCAGTAAGTATCAAACCCAATGGTATGTATGCAGAAATTATCCTCAGGTATTGGGAAGAGGCAGGTAAAGGGACAGGATTCAAAGCACCCACCTCAATGAGGAAACTACTGCCAGAAGTCAGCAGTTTGCATGTGTTTTTTCATATAAATTAATAATAAACATATAATTATTGTATAAAAAAGGTTTAACATTCATTGGAAACTTACTCTCCCGATTTTCCTATACTTCATCTGTGTTTTAAGGAAAGCATTACTTATTACTGAAGTATTCCTTATGACATAGTGTTAAAAGTGTTGGCAATGCAATACTTTACAAGGTCTCCATTGAGAAACTGGGTGCAAAGGAGCAGTTAGGGAACGAAAGGCGAGCTCTGCTTACCTTAGATCTTTCACGTTCCTTTTTCTACTACAGGTAGAAAACCCTTGATTTTCCCCTCTAACAATACACACGATTGGTAGTGATTGGGTAGTGCACCTGGGGATTGAGAGCTCTTGGGCACTATGGAAGGCATCCTTAAAGATCTGCCAGCTCTGTTCTGCTCCCTTGTCCCTAAGGGGAGTTTCCCCAGGGATCCTTTCAACTAACTCATTGAAGAGCTGGAAGTTTGTTTTCCCAAAGTTCAGGGTCCTGTCTTTACTCTTTGCTTGACCCATATCCCTGCGTGCCCTGAACTCCACCAGTGTGTGGTCAGTACAGCCCAGGCAGCCTCCAATGTTGATGTCCCCAACTAACTCGCTCATATTGGTGATCACCAGGTCAAGTATTGCATCTCTCCTGGTAGGTTTGTCTATTCCCAGGAGTCTCTGGATTGCCTACAGCTTTCTGTGCTCCTCCTCCAGCAGATGTCTGGGTGGTTGAAATCCTCCAGCAGGACAAGAGCCTGCAAGAGCAATGCCTCCTGTGGTTGGAGTAGGAAGGCTTCATCAACCGCCTCCTCTTGTGATGAGGGGGCCTGAAGTAGACTCCAACCACCAGGTTCCCTTTGTTGCCTCAGTCTCTCACTTTTAGCCACAGGCTTTCAACCTGCTCATGGCTATTCTGCACTGAACATTTCATCATGGCCAAATTCTTTAAAATACATATTCATGCTACTAACTATATATTTAGTATAGAGTGTGTATACACACTGATATATATACACACACATGCATGGACTATCATAACACCATATTCACATAAACAATGAGTTTGGCTTATGATGCACTGATAGTAAATTATTGGCAACACATTCGCTGGTTCCAAATAACAGTTAACATTGTTTATTTACATACACATGTAGTATGACATTTTGTTAAGAACAGAAAGGTTAGATCACTGTACATACAGATGACAAAGAGGAGCTGTCCTTAAACACAGCTGAGAGCGCACTTGTGTTCATTTAAAACCCCATGTATCAAGTTGTGTATGTAAGTGAAGGTAGAACAAACTTGTGCTTGAAAATTTCAAGAGGGAAACACGTTATATAAATAAATGCATGGAATTTATATATTTACAATAAGTACAGCATATAAATTATAAAATAATTAAACCAAAACAAGGTACTATTGTACACTGACAGCTAGTTGTGCTAAATCTTGGACTTATTTTTCACAAGTAACCTCAAGACCAACCAAGGGAGGTCTGTGGTTGACCAAACAGCATAACATGGCTTGGGGTACATCACGGCTCAGTTTTGAAGCAAAGCTTTTTGAGTGTTACACTAAACTGAAGACTGTGCTGTTAACAACCTACTATATGCAAATGAAAGAGGCATGTTTTGTGTTCTTGCTGTGTCATAAACCACCCATCAATCAAGAAAATGTTTCTGGAGAGTCTCTGGAAACATTTCAATGTCAGTAAACAACCATTTACAGATACCTTCAATTTTTAAGCATGCAAATCACTACTAATACTACTGCCTGTGTAAAGAGAAACTCAGAAACATGGACTGTATGTACATGAACCCAACCCAGTAAACGCAAATTAGGCTCCTGGGCTTTGGCCACATTCTCTCTTTTCCTCCATAAAGAGCTCAACTTGCTAGCTATGCAACACTGACTTTTCAGAGAAAATATAGAGACTACTAGTATTGCTTAAGATACTGTGCTCTTTTGCCAGCATCATGTAAAACTCTCCTTGTGCTGGAAAGGATCAGATGTTACAGGTTCCCCACACCATGCAGCAGCATCCAGCAGCTTACAGGATCAAGCCTTTAAAAAGAAGTGGTGAAGCCACATCTCTGGAAAGTGGGTTCTTTCCTGTACTTGTGCTGCTGTTGTCTTTTTTCAGAAAGCATCTTCACCCTCTGCAATGTCAATTATTGTGCGAAGCAAGTCTTCAAAATTTGGGCGTCCCTCTGGTTTCTAAAAATAAAAGCATGAACAGCTGTGATCAGAAAGCAACACGTTGGGTCTTGATATAATTCTGTGGCAATGAATTTACTGTTCCATTAGATGTGAAGTGCAAAACTATTTCCTTGTGTGGATTTTGGACGTGCTTCATCTCAGTAAGCCTCACCTTTTTTTTTTTTTTTTTTTACCCTTTGAAAAAGCATAAATAGCCATTACTGGACTACACTCTTCATATAACTCATTTTTCATAGCACTACACTTTTTTTCTTCCCTATCCCCACCTCCCCCAATGAATTGCTCACATCTTTCTTTACACAAGTTGTTCACACTCCCAAGAATTTTGAATGTCATTCTTTGAAGCCTGTTTTACTTCCACATTATTTTTTGGACTCAGAAATTAGACCGCATCAGTTACGCAACATCATCCTTCATCTACAGTATTTATTTTCCATACAGTTCCTTATGTGTCATAGCATCCTGTTTGTTTTGTTTAATTACAACAGTACACTTAGTCTCTTCGCTGACCTTGCTGACACAGTTAATTTAGCATCTTCTGAATGTCTGGGTAATTTGCACTTTGCCTCCATTTATCAGTCTCTTTAGATTTGTATCAACTGCTGAATTTTTAAGCTTCAGTATTCACTTCCTTCTACAAATCATTAATAAATTTATTAAATGAGGACTGAGGTACCTACAGTTAATTGTATTTTATGACAAAGATTGACAGTATCTTGCCATTACTTGAGTCGTTTGTGATTTGCAAAGACTCTCCCCCATGTGATGACTGTTTAGATTTTATTGTTAATAATCCCTGATGAAATTGATAAATTTTTAATCAATTCATTAATGTTCATATAAGTCTTATAAAAACACATTAATATTGAAAGAGCATTAACAAAAAACTTATCATTATCCTCTAGGTAATTTATTATTCCATTTTAATGACCATTTCAAGCAGGTTACCAAGCATAAACAAAATTTAATGATCTTTAATTTCCTTGCTCCTGTGAATAAATTTCCTGAAACAGACATATTTGTCATTCTGTGGCCCTCCAGGGCACTGTTGTTTTTAATGTATTTTTTGCTGCATAAACCAACTGGTTTGTAAGTTTTAGATCTCCACCAGTTGGTTTGGTTCCATCACCTTCTCCTCCAAGACAAGCATCAGGCAGTATGTCATCTTTATTACTGGAAAAAGCATTTTTTCCCCAGCACCCCCTGGGCAAAACCTAACTAGAAATAAATCACATAGCTCTTTCCATTCTTGGTTTCCTTAATTGCTCTCACAAAATTAGAGGCATATCATTAATTGCCCCTATCATCTTAGAGACTTTCTGGTTTAATACTACAAAAATTGTTTTATACTGATTTAGTTGATCAAGTAGTAAATAGGGGTTTGCTACCCCTTTGACCTCTGTGAAAATTGTACAGTCAGTATATTTCTAGGTTAGGAGGATTAATAGTACAATGTATTTTTATATTTCTTTATAAACCTTGGGATTTGTGTTTAGATCCAACTGCAAATTAATTTATATTTCCTATATATATTTTTAATCAGGTAATGAAGTATTCTTTTAAAAAATTTTTGGTCATTCTGACATGGTTCTGTAATGATGCCTACAGGAGAGATGGGGAGGGACTCTTTATCAGGAAGGGTAGTGACAGGATGAGGGGTAACAGTTTTAAGCTGAAAGAGAGCAGATTTAGATTAGATATTAGGAATAAATTTTTTACTGTGAGGGTGGGGAGGCACTGGAACGGGTTGTCCAGGAAAGCTGTGGATGCCCCATCCCTGGAGGTGTTCAAGGCCAAGTTGGATGGGGCTTTGAGCAACCTGGTCTAGTGGAAGGTCTCCCTGCCCATGGCAGGGGGGTTGGAACTCAATGATCTTTAAGATCCTTTCCAACCCAAACCATTCTATGATTCTATGATTAATAAACTGAGGCAATATAAAATCAGATTCTCCACCTCTGGGCTGTTCTGACTGGATTTTTTTTTTTCCTAACAGTATTTGCACACAGATACAATCATGACCAGCAGAGATTTAGCAATTATTTAATTTTGTTACTAAATGCCTTTGCATACTTAATCTGACAGTCAATTTATTTCATAGAAATTTCCTCAGTGTTTTTTCTTAGCACAGCTCTAGTGTGCAAAGATATCCCAGGGGGATATCTTTGTCTTAGCAATAAACACGTGAATAGCTGAGAGCAATGGATACAATCAGAATGCTTCAGTAGGGATTAATTGCTGTTGCTAGATTGATTTTTTTTTTCAATTCAAAGACAAAAAAATAAAAATGTACATACCTCCTGCCAGCACATCATCATCATTTCATACACCTGCTTACAGGCTAGTTTGGGCCGATACAAACGATGTCCTTGGCTAACCATTGTTACCACTTCATAGTTGGAGCTTTTTTCAAAGGGCATTTTTCCCTCTGTAAATACTTCCCACATTAAAACACCTAACAAGAAAGAAAATAAACATTAAGAAAACAAGCAAGTAACTTCTTAAAATACATGTTTAATTTCAGCCCTGGGCTCAGGATTTCTGATAGATAAATAGTCTGAGATCCATATTCTAGAAAATGTTCACGTGTCATCGCTGAAAACATCTTATTATAGTAGAGTTTTAATAAAGAACAGTTCTAAAGCTCTCTGTGAAACTTTATGCAAGCATAAAATCGTGAGAAATGGTTTCTCTGAGCTTCTTCTCTGATGTCTGAATCCTTCCCAATAACTGTAGCTTAACTGCTATTGACAAAATATAAAAACAGTGCTTTCTTTCAATGATGAACATCTTACCGAATGACCAGACATCTGACTTGCTGCTGAATCTGCTATAATTAAAAACTTCTGGGGGGCACCATTTCACAGGAAATTTAGCCCCTGAGGAGCTTGTGTACTGATCATCAAGGACATACCTAAAAAAAAAAAAAAAACCAAACCCAAAAACCAACAACAAAATCATTATATCCTTCATTCAGCCTCTAAACCTGCAAACTGTAGTTTAGATTCGGATTTGAATATAAGAAGCTTATATTGCCACCTAGTGGCCATGACTTAGCATCACACGGTAAAAATAGCTGCTCTGGGGCAGGACTAAACTTTCAGTCAAGATCCAGTTCATTTTTCTTATGACTTCAGAGTCTTCTTTTGTGATTATTAACTATACAACACAGGCTTAGACCACCTGCAAGTTAAACGCCTGTATCATGAAAGCAAATTATGCAAAAGCATAGATTTTTTTGCTCTGTTTCTCACCAGACAGTCTGAATTCAGATGGGACATGCAAGCTCAGCAGCACAGAAAGGTGGCAAAAGCCATGAAGAGCATGGTCGAACTATGCTTTAACACCTTCCTTGTAGGTGCTGCTCCCCACCCCCTGCCTCACCCACATATCTCCCACCTGATGTAGCACCTGCAGGTGCTCACAAGGGCAGGAAAATGACCCCTTTCCAGCTCTCACCACCTCCCAGGACTTCAGCTAGCAAGATGACACTCTGAACCATCTACCCCAAGATGATCCCAAACACACTGAACAGCCTCTATAATTTATTTACCAAAATACAGATTAATTATTATTGTCTCTGCAGCATGAGCTCTGCTGTCTGAGACACAAGCTCTGATATGCCTCCTGCATCACTACAAGATTAAAATTTGTAAGATTTTCACAGATGTTACTGAGAGCTGCTAATAGAAGACCAGTCAGACCATGGAGTCAGTTCAAAGCCAGGCCTCTCATGGTAAGTGCCAGTCAAACTTACTTCTCAACAGAATAAAGTGCCTGGTTTTGATTTGCCAGAATTAAAATGAGTCAGGAAATCGACACATGACCACAGAAAAACAAGCATTAAAGGCACTGGGAAAAATAAGAACCAAAGGTTGTTCCCTAGAGATGTCAAACAATATAATTTTTGCCTGTAGTCTTTCTGGGTGTGCATTGCCTTATGGCTAAGTTCGAGGGTCAGGTGGATTTTCCCAAATCCCCACAAATGTGTTTGCACACTCATCCATACCTTGTCATTCCAAAATCCGACACTTTGACCACTCCCGAGTCACTCACCAAGCAGTTCCTGGCAGCCTGCAAAGACAATGGTTAGATTTAGATTAAAAATTTACCGACTCTTGCAGACTAATTACAACGGCCCAATGAGGACTTTGTCCTCATTGCTTAGCAAGTTCACCAATTTACCAAGTTCAGTGGCGTACCCTCATTATAAAATGTACATGTGCCTTTGCTCTTGATAGTACTGTTTTGACAACTAAACCATTTTCTAAAAAAATCACCAGAAAAAATAATAATCTCAAGGGATTAATGAGTGGTAAGAATAGCACCAACACAGAACAGAGATACACTCTTATATCAGTGCAAATAGCTATTAACTCTTTATAAACAAATTCAGAGAGATTTTATTCAATTTTCTTGGCAGATCAAAAGCCCTCATCATTTTCAGTACAAGGCCATTTTAGAGACTTGATTAGACCCTAAAGAGACAACTTCAACTACTTCTGATTTTCTGCAAGAACAAAAGCAGTTATTTACAAACAGGCTGTTTCAAAAACGGAATAGGTAAGTTCAAAAATAAAAATTTCAAAGAGGAGTGCATTGCTTAATGGGATATTACCAGGTCTCTGTGGATAAAGCTGTTTCTCTCCAGGTACTCCATTCCCTCGCATACATCTTGGCACATAGTGAGAAGGACGTCTTTACTCAAAACTCCACGTTTTTGCCTCAGGTAATTGAGAAGGCAGCCATGCTCCATGAACTCTGTCACGATGTAAATAGGTCTCTGTTGTGTGCACACACCATACAGCTGCACTAATTTAGGATGTGTTAGCTTCCTGAAAAGATTGAGATCGTGTCGTTATTACTTCCTCTGCCCAGTGCTAGTTTTCCACTCCACAAACCTGCAAAAATACCACCTGCCTGAGGTTTTTTACTTATAATTAGTAAACGGCATCAGAAGCCTAGCACTAGCAATAAAAGTGCCCAGCACGGAACTCACATCATTACTTTAGCTTCTTCAATGAAATCCTCTTCATACATCGCACCTTCACGAATTGCCTTGATGGCCACTTTATACTGTGCCCTCCATTTCCCAAGGCGCACTACGCCAAAGAGACCGCTCCCCAGTTCTCTCATGAATGTCAGTTCCGAGGGATTAATTTCCCATTTCTCTACAAAACAAAACAAACAAGAGCCTGTGACTGCTGTACTATGGAACATACCAATCTGATAGGTCATAGGGAGGAGGAAAGGGAAATGCTGGATTACTAGCAAATCAAGGAATTCAGGGAGAAAATGTCTTAGAACTATCTTGAAAATGGAGCATTTCTGTATCTCACAATACAAACAAACTTTTAGCTAGACACAACCTTTAAGCAGCTGCTGACCAACACAGAAGGCAAAACTTAACTTTGCCTGAAGCCAGTAATTACATACTGGTATTATCAGACTTGATTTCAACAAGCTGCCATCATAGAAAGTTATGCCAGTGCATAGCAGCTGCTCACGTCATCTGATGTGCCATGCTTAAAAAAGGTTATTCCAAGCTGTTCAAGAAAGTAACCCCTCCACGAAGATCAAAGGAGCCAAGGTTGAGTCTGTAGGCTTACAAAGGAGCCAAAACACAGCTCTTTAATTGGGTAGAGCTCAAGGTGTCCGCAAAAGTATGGAGGAAGATGCTGAATTCCCCTGGAGCAGCAGCAACATGTTCTGCGTCATCTCACTACTGCCCTTGGCACCACAGACCTGCCACCAGCTGTCACACCTTTGCACACCGATTCTCTGAGCAAGGGTCTCCAAGGTACAACTTGGGCCTGCCTAAGTTAGTATAGGCAATCACAGCACAAAATCGGGTCTTTTCAAAGTTTTTAGAAAATGTTGTGGCAACTTACACATATAAAATAATGAGAAAAGCTACATGCAGATTGGTATAAAATGCAATTACCATAGCTGAATCCTGCTGTTGTTGGTGCTGTTGTCTTCTTTGGGGTCACTGGGTAACGCAGCCTGGTAACAAGACCTGAGGTTTAAAGATAATTCAACAGACACAACTTACTTCTGAAATAGTGCCAGGCAGCCACTTGTTCACTGCAAACAGCAACACTGATTAACAATAACCTTTTCGTTATATACAGCTTTGACCATATTTTCTGCTATTGCATTGTTTTGACGATTAAAAGTGGCTACAGCAGGTACGCAAGGGCACTCACTGCATCTAGCTTGCTGCTGCTTCTTTACTGGTGAGAGATGGATATAGATATGTGCATACATATTAGTGCTTTGCCGTTATGCTGACACCAAAGGCTGAGGACTCCTTTCAGTTCAGAAAGAATATCTAAAATGTATACTCTCAACATTACTTTTGATGGCTTGTTTCACGTGTATAAATTCCAGCAATTTCATGTGGGGATTTTACACATATAAAATAAATGCTGCATGCTAGCTGAATATTCTCCCAAAACCTTGTCAGAAATCAATACATCATAAGGTAAAAAGCAATTAAGCAATTAAAAAACAAGTAGCAAAATCAGTTATAATAAAAAAAAAAAGCAGGATTATGTTCTTGGAGCATATTTTCCACAAAGGCATTTTCCAGAATATCATCAGGAAATGCCAGGTCATCTGAATTAAGACACAAACATCTGGAAAATATCGGTCATGAGGGAAATTTATGTACAGGGTGGACTTGAAAAATATATACTATATTAATATCTGTGCCTTGAACTTGACTCCTAAACTCTCCCCATCCCATCATACAGTGGGTTGACACACCAGCATCAGCCATCAGCTGTAGATCTGAAGCGCCTAACCTTTACAAAGACTCATCCTTAGGGATTTCCTAAGCAACACATCACTGTTCTCCTCATCTGTTTGCTAGATGGGAAGATAAGATCATTTTAAGCAGTGGTGGCCTCCAGGTAAAAACCTAGTGCCTGGAGAGTACTCTGGGGAAGTACCATCCCTGTCCATCTGCTGCGGGTTACAGGCAGCTGATGGAGACATGATGTGGAGCTAAAGGACTTATTTTTCCTGACTCAATACAGCTGTTCTTATGTTACTCTGATGACAAGAACATATATATATATATATTTACATACAACCTTTTGAGTGAATGTCTATAATGAAAAAAATGTGAAAATGCAGTGTCTCATGACTTCCCTGAAAAAGAAAGATCTATAAAAACCTAAAAATATTCATTAAAACCCTAAAATACCTCACACTCCTTTTCAAATCAACCCTCAGTGACAGAAAAAATCCAATTCATCTACCTGCTGCATTATGTTTATGATACTCAATTATTTCTGGAATGGAGTTAAAGAGATGTTTTTCCGCAAGGTAGTACTGCTTTGGTGACGTCACTGTTTCTTTTATATGGTAGTGTCTTATTCCTGATGAACCTTCTCTGCAAAAACAATAACAACAATAACAACAATAATAATGCCATTTGTTAATTTTGTAAGAAGAGCACATTGACTAGGAAAAGGAAACCTAAAGGGCCACTGCAGGTCCTCAATGTCACATGGTTCAGGAACAGCTTGAATAAAAAAGATCCCGAGTGCTGGTGACTTGTCACAGTCAAAGTTGAAGACTAACCTGTAAAAAGTTCATTTTCAGCCTCCCTGATCCAGCTGACCACACACAGATGCGAACACTTGGGCTGGCAGTAGGGAAGAGACCAAATGAGGTGGGGGAACAACACCTCCTTCTTTGGGTGGAAGTTCGAGTCCACAGTGGGTTAAATCAAACATGACCTAACCATGGAGTTCAGAAGCTCATTTTAGTCACTCATCTTTCCTATCACAGCAGCCCCCTTTTCTTTGTCGAGCTCTCTCCTGGGCTTTCCCGCAGCCCAGGGGCTTGGATACAGATGCAAATGGATTCAGACCAGACAAGCCGTGCAGAACAGCCACAGAAACTCACCCTCCAAATTTTGTGTAAAGGGAAACTGTATACAGGCCAGGCTGACTTGAGTCTCTCACCACAAAACCACCTTCTTTATCCTAAAATGCAAGCACATCAACAGTTTTGTACAAGAGGTTTTAAACGGCATGTGTCTTCTACTCGTTCTGTGATTTTTGTCTGACAAAATAAGCATTTGCTTTAATAAAAGAAGCTACTTTGTGCAAATTACATGCTTAATACTGCAAGGCTGCTGTGCTCACCTCGTTTCTGAGGAGCTGCTCTGCCTTGCTTCTGTTCAGGTTTCTGCTGTACCACCTGCAACACAACATCAGTAACCAAAGCTTCTCCAAGGTGCACAATTTACATAAAATGCTTAAAACAAAGTATTACAAAACTACATATTCAATGATTTTATGACAAGAACTGAAACTTTGTTAATGTAAAAAAAAAAACAACAAAAAAAAAACCAACAACAAAACACCTCTCTATTACATTGTGCAGTTATCCCATAAAAACACTTTGAAACAAATCCAGTGAGACCCCACAGAAGCCAATAAAGTTCAGCTAAGTGAACTAATTTTGTGGCAAAAATACTTCTCAAACGTGCACAGGCTGATGGCACTAGTTGCTCTGAATAGCAGCCCAAGGGCACGCTGGCAGCCCTGGGGAAGCAGCTGCCTGCACACTGGTCAAGCCACCTGCGGAGCTGTCTGCTAGACTGCTATTTCATCCACTAACTTCACAATTTTGATTTTCCAGGGAGGAACCACCTGCCAAAGAGGAGGCTGAAAGTGAATTAAGTGTCATGGTTGCACACCCCTGAGCTCGGTGCTGCACAGGCAGGTTAAAGCTGCCACAGAAACACTGACACTTCAGCTAGCTGCAGCAAATGATATAAAAAGGAAAAGCACACAGCTTGCGAATGTCACGGGCACAATCTTTCTGAGCCATGCTGTCACAGCAGTAACTGAGCAGGAAAGTGGCACAGCAGCCTCTAATCAAGTTCTGCTGTTCTGGAGGTAGTGGTTTCTTGCAGTTGGTAGATGACCTTGAGTAATTCTCTGTGGACTGCGCGGTGACTCAGAATTATGGCCCCAAGGTGGTAAGACACAAAGTGGCTGGACCAGATAAGGCAGCGCAGTTCCTTCCTTCCCTTTCTGCCAGCCCTGCAGTCCAGCTCAGAGCAGGGCAGGGCTCTTGACAAGAGCGGCAAACACAAGAAAGCAACAAAGAACAAGTAATTCCCTCCAGTAAAGCTGAGGGCAAAATCCCAGAGGAAATTTTACCTTCTGTCAAATCACAGCAGAAGGAGCCATATGTGGCTGAGAGCAGAGTTTTGGAGCTACTAATGTGGTTTTGTAAATTGGTTTTAATCATTATTTCCTTACAGCTCGATTTGATCTAAAAGTCATAAAACATGTCTTAAGTTCTCAGGCACAAGTTTATGCTGTACTTAAATTTGAATATCAAGAACAGGCTTGGAGACTACAGTGTAAAATTTTGTCCTGATGTTCTTAATAAGTACTCCATAATTAAAAATCAACTGTAAAAAGCATTCTTTCTTAAAAAACAGGTATATGTTTACAGCTAAGTTACATGCATAACCTGAAACTTAAAATGCACTGAGGGATATATTTTTTTAAAAATTAGAGCTGCCTTCCAAAATCTCTGATCTGCTATGTTTACTTTGAATTATTTCCACTGTTTTCTACTCTACTATCTTACTGCCACACACTTTGGATAGACATTCACTTCAACATTTAAAAAAAACATTCCACACACTTATAATGAGTAAATTTCCTTCAAAGTTTCCCTTTGCTTATGGGAGAATTAGGAGGGGTGTTTTGTCTTAATAGTACTAGCCTAAAAACTACATGCTTGATGGCCATCTCACTGACTTGACTCTACATTAAAAATCACAGCAAAATCAATGAGGAGAATCAGAACAAATATATGCCTATTTCAAATAATTAAGTTTCATCTCTGAGATCAATGCTGTCATACGTAAATAATTGCTTTTAAAACTTTAGAAATATATTCACATTCTTAAAGCATAGGTTTAATTTTATGATCTTCCAGATTTTAATTCAAATAATCACTTACTCATACTGGTCAAGGTTGTTGGACTTCTTTCCTGTTACATAGTTGCTTGGAATATATCCTTGTTTTCTAAAAAAAAAAAAAAT